AGACGCTTTTAGCCAGACGACCGTGGGCGAACTAGAGGGAGCAAGCGTGCACCGTACAACGATCGATATCTGAGATTATACTATGACTTTGGCTAGATCTGATTGTCTCACTAATACATGTAAGCTTTTCTGCATCAGAAACAAACACACTGAAACCTGACTGCCCCATTTGTTGTGTTACAGCCGATGGTAGTATAATGTTGTACTAACTTCTCCAATACTGTGCCCAGTCATGCATCCGATCCAACACTACGGTGAACGGCGAAATATCGTTGAGCAACTTCTCGAAGTGCTCAATTGCCTGCTCTTCGGTCATATCCAGGCAGAACTTGCCCAGTACCTGCTCATGCACATCACGATGCTTGATATGGGGGATATTTGCATCCACCATCAGCGTGACCAAGTTCAGGATGAGATTAGCGCTTTTGCGCAAAATGGTAAAGGCGGTGAAACAAAAGTTCTTGAACCGGGTGTAGTGCACGGACTGTACACCGCCCATCGCATCGACCATCTCTTTACACACTTTCACAGGTGGCGCCAGCGGCTTCGGATCTCGTCCGAGGATATAACCGAAGTCGACTGTAATATATCGTCAGCAGACAGTCGCTGAAGCTCGTTATGAACTCATACCATGAAAGAAATGGCCATCTGGAGCAAGTAGCAGGTTGTCAAGATGCCGATCACCAACACCAAGGAGGTAAGTGACGACACAATACCCAGCTAATATCCTGATTAGAGGACTATAACGGGTGGTCGGAACAAGCTTACCGCAGCTTTTGACGAATGTATCGATCACTCCAGGTTCAACTCCATAAGTTCCAACACTACCCTCGTCCGGGTAATGTGCCCTTAGGTAGTTGAGAAGTGTCCCGTGCTCGCTAACGATGGCCGCAATAGTCTTACTCGGAATGAACTGAGCCATTCCCTGCGCTGGGCCTGTCGCGAGGACGTCATAAGGGCTCAGCTTCAGGTCCAAATTCTCCTTCCTCAGCAGTCGATCCATCAGCGTAAATAGCTGTATCACGAGTTGATCCTGGCGCATATCATCGCCGTCCTTGAATATTAGGGGATACTCGGACCCATCGATGCACTGGAAGTACAAGAGCATCGGGAACATGTTCGACTTGAATACGCTCGATTTCTCTGCGATAATCCCCGTCACCTCCACACGCGCGTTCAGTGGAAGTGGCAAGGGCGTCATCAATGCGAGGCTGTTCTTCGAATCTGCAAGGAATGCGCGCAGCTTCTCTATCTTCTTCGGCCGCGGATCTTTAGACATGCGGAGATCTCTAGCGCGCTTAGCGAGAGTGGCAACCAGCTCCCCCTGTCGGCGCATCAACTCCCGCCTCTCCGTGCCACCCTCAGCCTAGAAGAATAGATGGATGCGTGAGACAAGTGAGTCGTACAGGAGAAAACCAAGCCTACTTCGAGCTTTCCCATAAATTTGAACACAACCTTTCCATACATCCTTGCAATTACTTCGTCTTTCGTTGCGACCTCCACCATGAGGTACCAATGAAGTCTATTACCTAGGATTGGATTCCGCACAGCCCGAGCGACGAGGAAGTCGGCCAAACCGCTATCATCGTAGGATATAGCGCTGGACGTTGAGCGCGACGACCGTTGATCGCTAGCAGCACTCTCGAACTTGAGCGCCTGAACTAGCTGGAGGAGATATAACAATAATTCCTATAAGCGCAAATTAGTGAGACAACTGGGCGAAATGTAGAGGACATCCAACGGACATCGTCATCCGCTCTACTGAGCTGCTTCACTGCAAATGCCCGTACGCGGGAGTCGACTATGTTAGGGCCCAGTAACTCGAGCGCATCATCAGTATCTATCTCCGTCCATTGTGGCAATAGCTCTTCCACAGCCTGCTTGACCTCTGAGGGGTCCCTCCAAGTCACAGATTTTAGGAACTTTGTCAAACCACGTTTGTCCCTCGTGAGGTAGAACCTGAATTTCCATATCAGATCCTTCTCTTCCGAGGTCAATGGCTGACTGGGTGCATAATTGAGGATTTCCTAAGTAAACACGCATCAATACAGCGGCTGTGCAGAACCATGAAAGCACATACTGAAAGTTCATCTCTGATCTTAGCGTTTGGTTTTAATTCTCGGTCGTATGGGCTGCTTCGATGACTACGGACAAGTCGACGGTGTTTGTCTTCGACCGGGTTTTCACGCACTACATCTGGGTCTACGACAGCCCAAAGAGAGGCGTCAGTGAGAACGCTCTGCTGCGGAGCAACAGAGACAGGCGGAGCTGGCTGAGCGACGGATGTAGACGTGGATGCAGTATTGGAGGAGTCCTACAGACATCTCATGAGCATGTCATCCTTGGTTACACGAAATGAGATGTACAGGTTCACTAAAGATGACCGGAAAGTCAAATCGAGGAAGGTCGATGTAGAGAAAGAGGTTTTCGGATTTCTCCGTTTCAGCCTGCGCGAAGGATGATGTTGAGAGTTCTATCAAGTACATTCAGAAGTTAGACTTACGGCATGTATCTCAGCCATCTTACGGAAAGTCGTAGGATCTAACCAGTCGGACTTTGGCATGTCTCCTCGCTCGTACTTCTTGACAAGCTATATGATGGCGAGTGTGATTGAAAAACATTACTACAAAACAAACTGAGCTGACCTTCTCTAGTCTACCCATCTCGTCTCGCGTCCCCACTTTGCTAGGAGTGGTGGTCTCAATGGCACCATCAGCCTCACGGTCTGGCCAGAGCAGCAGCCGGTGCTTCCCCCTCCTCAAACTCCTACAGAGCAACACACGATATAAGCATGCAGGTTAGAAGGCTGATCGTATCTAGCGAGGACAGACCATTTCTTCCCGAAAAGGCGAAAAGTGGACCCTCCGACTGGAACCGCAGACCTTGGACCTGCTATGTCCCACACGGTGAATGTAACCTGTGCGCTTAATGGCAAGTCACAATAGCGTATGGGGAGCGTAATCCATTCATTCCACCTTTGCGAGTATCGCTCCAGTCAGCTTTGAGATACCGATAGAGATATCGCTAAACGTACGTATAATCCTTCTTGAAGGCCTTGTGAGATGTTCTAAACGGGATGGTGAGAGGCTTGTTATCTGCCACCAGTTGACATGTTACGTAGAGATCAGAAAGTTCGCTTTAACTGCGTCATTGAGGATCAATAAGAGGATGGCGCATGGGTTGACTCACGGAGATTGTTGCACTCCATGGAAGCGCAGCTCCGGTTTCTCTAGAAGTTCGGTATATGGCCGCGATTTCCGTGTACCCTCCAGTTGAGATCTATATCAATAGTGTCAAAGAGGATCAGCATGCGGGATGTCGCGGATGTACATGCGGAATGTGACTGGTAACTTCAGGTCGCTGAGTCGGGCGAAGGTGAAGTCATCGCGGCTGTCTTTATCCATATATCAGTTCTAGTCAGGGATTCCTAATTCAACTTGGTTAGATACTAAATCAAAGGCAGATCAAGTATTGGAATAATGCAGAATGAAGCTATGAGGGGAGGATAGGTTTGACCGAGTACGGGCTTCCGGATTGTGGCCCCTCAAGCCAGGGCGTCTATTTACCCGCGCCAGTGGTCGCGGTATTTCGAGTCGATCGCGTGCCCCGCAAGCAAATCAGTCTGACTGTGGAGTAAGTAGTGATTCTAGCGAAGTACTTCGAATAGGACAGATATCCATACGCGAAAGCGTATAATAACGAGAGTCGTATGTGTAGTCAAGAAATTACCTAAACATCCACGTGCAGAATTGGGCACACTAGTACTGAACAACTACTAATCTCAGCGGTCAGCCCAGGTATGGTACTAAATGCACGCTAACAGGTAAGCAGGTATCGTAAATATAGTTGCCATTGTCTGTATTTGCTTCATATACTAGGACAACTTCACCATTACTTGAAATCCAGTTAGCTGTACATAAGGAGAAGTTGTTCGGGTCGTTGTTCACAGCGAGCACATAGTCATTTGAGGAAGTATCTGGCTGTTCAGATATTCGTCAATCTTCATCGGATTTCAATGAAAAAATAGGACACTTACAACAGCGCAATAAATCTCAGCTGGCTGCGGATTCGATTCTTCGACCGTAACAAAGAATGCCACCTCTCCGCCGGTTTGCACCTCGAAGTCGTACGCTCCAAGACCTTGTTCATTAGGTCCCGGTTGGGGGTAAACTGCGCCCTCTATAAGGGTGTTGTAAGGCCACGAATTTGAGCCCCATGAAGCATACGTCTACTCATACAGTCAGAAAGTTTGCTCCAGTCACAGACAACAAGACAGTCTCACTGAATAGACCCATTCGCTGGCGGCAGGACTGTCACCAGGAGGCCCATATGCGAGTACCAACGGATAGGTTGTCGTACCCTCATCCGTGGAGCTGTATGCAGTGAGCGTGAAGTTGAACGTCGCAGTATCTGTTGCGCCCGTGCCCAAGCCTGCACAAGATGCGCCAGTTTGGCGCATCCGCAAAGCCGGTAATGCCATGGCAGCGCCAATCATACCGAGGAGAGTGAAAACAGCAGAAAACATAATGCGAATGGACCTCTGAGTGTTGAAGATGAACTAAAGAGTAGGGAGGTAGCATGGAGAACATAGAATTTATACGGAATTTGAACTGGATGCGGTGCTCACCTAGCGAAGTGGTATTATTTGTGCCGGCAACATAATGTTAGCGCAGTTGGGAAAGTAAAATCGAATGGGACAGCGATGATCCATCATTCTAGCATATCATTGATATCTAATGGCGGTCACCAGGAGCAAACCCAAATATGTAATCTGTCAGCTTCTCTCTTATTGATACAATGCGAGGCCCAATCCTTGAGCTTTAACCATAATCTGATTCTAGCGTACAGCCCTTTGAGTCATTTTAGGACTCAGGCGGTGTAGGCGGTCCCGAGGAACGTACTGGCCGTCCGACACGAAGGAGGCCAACACCCTTGAATACACCTAGTCATTGTTCTTCCGGTGTTCGTTGAGTATGCTTCTGCGCATAATTGTACGGGTATCATGCATGCGAATGGTTACTTCTTTACAAGCTTGGACGGAAAAGCTGGAAGTCAAGTTTGCTTCTTAAGTTGTGTCGCCCTCTTAAAGACATATGATCGAGTATTTGATATAGCGAATTTGGCTCAATACGGTCAGCATTGGTCACAGGTAGTGCGCTCTTACATCTTTAGAGCCATTCAAGGCCAGCTGCAGTGCTCCGTGAGAACGTTTCAAAAATGAGCCAAGATGCTTACATTGAATCACTGTGACTTAACATCCTTCGGGTACTACCGATATCCATCTCGCCCCCGTGAGCCCATCCGGAATGGACAGGATTGACAGTCCAAGGCACCAGAAAGATGAGGGCTACACTAGCCAGGATGGATTGAAGACTTCAGCTTGTGAGTTCCACATTTGACAGGCTGCCATAACCCACTGAGACCCCAAAAGGTATTTAGGCGTTACCCCACATGCAGCTCGGGATCCTCTGTGGGTTTCTCCTTAAACTAAATCAGAATGACCTAGAACATAACCATGAAATAATACTCAGACATGATCTTTCTGTATTTGGGGTGTGCTCGAGCAACGTTCAGCTCCAGAATGTGGAGGTTCGGGGTCCGATTATCATAGGCGGCTCGCACGGGGGATCTGGATGATCCTGCCAGTATGAGACGTCGCGCTAAGATCGTGCCCTAGGGCGCGCATTGCGGACACTGACAGCGCTCATAGGGGGGCGAGCATCAAGCCACAACAATGATGAAAATATCGGAATTGTGCTGCCAGGAATCCATATTCACAGAACGAATGTAGTAAATTTTATCCGGTGTTTTTTTCAACATCCGGTATTTCAGTGGTGAGAGCGTCTTGCCATTCACCGTAGTCGGGGTTTGAACGCGAGTCTTAGCTAGAGCGGAGGCATGGAAGGAGGACCGCGATAGGTACTCAAATGGGAGCTCTGGAAGCGCTTCAGACTATCTATCACCCGGAATAAATATCAAATCCTAATACACCCTAGTGCAGCGGTACAACGGCAGAAGACGTACTGGTTGCTGAGTCTTGCGTCAGGACTTCTCCAAGTCATCCGACGCTGCACAAGGACATTCTTGGATTAGATATTCCCTTCTGCGCATTCTGCATTTTCAATCACACATGTTGCGACGTGGGAAGACTTGTCAGATACATGTATACCACATGCGCCCAGAAAAGCGCAGATGTCTACATGTCAGATCACGGTACGGTTGTCTCACTATGTGCAAATTTTTTAGCTTACAGGAAAGCGCAGGGTCGCTACTCGCTAGACAATACAGTAGTCTGAATACGAAGTGATCTTCAAGTATTATCCTGAATCAGAAGCAATGACATGAGCGAGACATCGTCGCTAAGATATGTAAGCACTTAATTTATATATCGTATCAGATGAACGGCGTGCACGCCGCTCGCGAGTTGCATTTCCCGACCAGCAGAATATCTCATCGCGCCCCCGACATTTAAGTGTTTACTCTACTGTTTGATCCACTTCGACAGTGGAAGGCCAATATTGGAGGCCAGTGCCGTTTAAGTGACCTTCCAGCAGGCTTTCGGGAATGGCCGGGATCCAGAGTCTGCATATATAAGACGTGGCTCAGGTAACTTAATGCTGTGCATTGCCTAACGGTGGCCCCTGGATGCTATCCTGCACAAGTTCCATTGCGCTAACATGCCTCTGTTAATATGTTTTATGGATTCATCCTCCATGATGGAAGGCGCATACGAAGCATTGCATTTCTTCGGTTATATATGATCCCAGTAAGTGAGCTATTCGAGAAGTTGATTATAGCGCTCATGACTATTATTACGAGACTCGCGGGTGATGGAGCAAGGATTGCCGGCTGTCCATCAGTGAGGGAAGGATCGGGAACTGGGCTCGGTTATGAGATAGTCCAAGTGGAATATGTTGCATAATGAATTGGCTGTTGTTTCCCGGGCCAAACGCCCTTGGATGGAGTCGGTTAGTAGGACTTTGCCAGCTGTATAGAGGTTCGTGTTCCGGCAGGCGGAGAAAGACAACCGATGGGCCTGGATTGCCTCCATGCTGACTAGGAAACTTGGATTCAGAGTCCGCCTACCGCTCCACGCCTCGAGCTCGCATATTCTCAGATACTTTCATCAAGACTACTTTCATGGCTCGTTTACTCGCGACTGCAGTGTCATATCTGGTCTTTTTTTAATTTTCACTCTGACGTATCCGCTCACATTGGTTTGATCTCATGAGTCGGCCACGTTGGTCTTGATCGCTGGAACGACCTACCATACACCCAAGGCTCACTGCACTCCTGCGCCGATTCGCAGAGGCATAGAATGCTGATATTTCTTGACCATTGTGATTTATCAATCATGACGGGAACATGGATCACGCGACTTCATATCCTGCACCAGACCACATTGGAAAGGAAGTCAATCTGACCCATACTATATTACGATCGTGAGAGCTCTGGATTTGTATGTGATTGGGATTCAATATTCAGGTTCGACAAATCGATGGACCAGTCCGGTCCCTAACGCTTCTTTTCTATCAATCAGAAGAATAAGTCCTCAGAGGGGGTGCTCAATATTCGCGTACGGCGATATGATCATGAAGAGGATGAAGTTCACCTAGCACTCAACATCCTACTAGCCTGGTAAGTCCGCATATTGGCAATTACGCTCGGATGGAGAAGATGCTATTTCAGCTATCCTCGGCTCTACCCATTGCATTGCGCGGATAGCTCTCATGTCGCTGATAGCTCCTTTCCTCCAGATGCACTTCCTCGAAGAATATTCGTCAGAGCGGCGATAAGCCGATCGTCTACGAGGTTTCTCAAGTCCGTGAACCCGAGTCAGACATTTTGCGGGGAATACAAGACAGCAATACAGCTAATCAAAGTTCGAAAACTGATTTCGCAGGGGAGGCAATTAGCACCGATATTTTCTCTATGAATGACACGCGAAAGAGAATATAAATGATGTCTTGATATCTTAGGCTCGCTTACAGTCCCGGGCCGTCGACACATTGGTGGATACGTGATGATGCTTCTTAGAAGCCTAAGAAAGCGGTATTTATGGTCTTGATAGTATCAGACAAAACCCACTGCATTCTTGAAAGTGCAGCACCCATCCGAGTTCCACGCCATGGCATACATTGACTTTCTCTCTCCGGTCCTTATTGTCGGACTGACCTGGGCCATCTGGAATTACTATCACAACAAGCAGGTTAATTCTGTTCTGGATAATATCCCAGGTCCTCCCAATAAATCTTTCGTCTATGGTGCGCATTCAATCGTTCCTTCCATTGTTTTGCTCCAATTTACTGAAAAACCTGTCAGGACACTTCGGCAAATTTTTCAATCGTTTTGGGGTAGAGTTCAACAAGGAGGTTGCTCTGAATTATGGCTCTGTCTGCAGAATGAGCGGTATGCTGGGGGTATGAATCTTGTTGATGCTGGAGCGACACCTCCCCGTTCATGTTGAGATTGCAGCGCACAGTACTTTACGTTTCTGATCCGAAGGCACTGCACACAATTGTCATCAAAGAGGAACACATATACCAGGAATCAAAGGGTTTCATTGCGTATGCTATCCTTCGATTATTACACGAAGCTATCTCACCATACACTAGAGCACTGAAGCTCATCTTTGGTCCAGGACTCATTTCAACTTTAGGTACGTTGAATTACTCGTCACTTGCGACAAAGCAGCCGATACAAATGGATTAGGGGAGACTCACCGGAGACAACGGAAGATCCTCAATCCGGTCTTCTCGATTGCACACATGCGGAACATGATACCGCTGTTTTACGGTGTTTCCCATAAGGTACGCGACCAATCATTATCTGATGACATTGAATAACCCCACATTTGAAGCTCCGTAGTGCCATTGCTCAGCGTGTCGCCAAAGGGCCCCAAGAACTGGACGTCCTCGGATGGACTGGCCGGACGGCTCTTGAACTCATCGGGCAAGGCGGCCTTGGTTATTCTTTCGATCCACTTACTGAGGATTCCAAGAATGCTTTCGGAGAGGCACTGAAAGACTTGAGGCATGCACTTTTATTGTATGCGAAAAATGCGCTGCTGATTGGTACATGCTATTTAGCCCCAGCCTGCAGAAATTCGACGGTTCTCGGCACTTCCTCCCATTCTTTACCGCATTAGGGCCTGCTTGGTTGCGGAGACGCCTTCTTGACTTGATCCCCAACAAAGACGTGCAGGCTGTCAAAAACATCATAGACACAATGTCCCAGAAATCAGTTGAGGTTTATCGGGAAAAGAAAGAGGCTCTCGCTAGGGGCGACCAGGCAGTCATTCATCAAATAGGAGAAGGAAAAGACATTATGAGCATACTGCGTGCGTTGCGGTTCTCTTCGCAGCTCGTTTTTGCTGAAATATCTAGCAGTTAAAGCGAACACTGCCGCGTCTGAGTCAGACAGGCTGTCCGAAGAGGAGTTGATTGCACAAATCTCGTGAGTGACAATATTTCACTAGGCGTTAAATGTTTGTTTTACCAAAGTATTCCCCATGATCATCAGAACCTTTGTCTTCGCTGGAATGGATACTACGTCGAATACAATTTCTCGCATCTTGCATATTCTTGCCCAGCGTCCCGAGATGCAAGAGAAGTTGCGAGAAGAGATTCAGAATACGGGTGCAGGAGACTCTATATCTTATGAGGATTTGAACAAGTTATGTCTGCTCGATGCAGTCTGTCGAGAGACACTGCGTGTGTGAGTGATACCACATCCTGATTCGACGACGTGCTCATCAAACATACGATCAGTTATCCCCCTGCTACGGAGGTCACTCGCGTGTACGTAGTGGTTCTTCAGGGTCAATTTTGACTTACACGACGCTGATTTCTCGTATGTAGGCCAACAAAAGATGTTGTTCTCCCCTTGTCCGAGCCGATTATCGGGCTCGATGGAACTTTGATCAAGGAGATCCCGATTCCGGAGGGCACAGAGATTTTCATTGGTACGATGGGCTCTAATCTTAGACCTGCCATGTGGGGCGAGGATTCTCTCGAATGGAAGCCCGAACGCTGGCTGTCCCCGCTCCCCGCTAAGGTCACAGAGGCTTCAATTCCTGGCGTCTATTCCAACCTGTGAGTCTAATCTATTGTTCGTGATTTGCACTATTCCTATACATACAACACAGGATGACTTTCATGGGAGGAAAAAGAGCATGCATGTAGGTCTTTCTATCCTCGCACCGATCCCGATTTATCTCATGGTTCAATTTGTAGTGGCTTCAAATTCTCGGAAATGGAAATGAGTACGTCAAGCTCTTTTTTTCCAAGTCGGACTGGCTTATCTTCTGACTTCCATGTTTTCAGAGGTCGTGCTGTCCGTGTTGCTCTCAACATTTCGTTTCGAAGAGACAGATAAACCCGTCATGTGGAACGTGGGCGGTATATGGTACCCCACGGTGGGGCCGGAGAGTAACGTCCCCGAGTTGCCATTGAAGGTGTCTTTGCTCGAAGATCCGAAAGTTTAGAGCCCCCCCGGGGCTTGCATCACGTCCGTCTTAGGTGGCTGCCGAATGCGTCAAATATTGTAGTTCAGACCATGTTCTGTGATCACTGTCACTATTGACCCACCAGTTTTGTAACATCTGATTCTGTATGCGTACCTGTATTTCACTGCGCGCAGTGCTTATGAAAATAAGAACAATACATTTTCTGAAGCTACCTTGGGAAGGAATTACTACGCAAAATAGGTGATTACACAATACGGTCTTTCCAGATACAACAAACCAACAATCAGCTACGAACGTACACAATGTCCAGGACGAGTCCACAATTGTCGTATCTACTCTTCTTTTTTCCCCGTTTTGTCTTGGCCAAAAAGTATCTCATCGACCGCTGCCTTCTTTCCTCTGAGCTGTAGCAGCAGACCCCATACCGGAGTTAGTAATGGCACGAACATTGCTACGCGCTGGCGGTAGGCGCTGTACGCCTCGGGATATTTGGAAAGCGATATGCTCTCTGTAAAGCGTGTGGAAGAGAAGAATAGTGAACAAAGGACCAGCGCGGGCATGAGTGACCAGAGGGGCGTCATCGACGTCGAGGAAAGGGGGGACAAGTTGGGCGACTCGGGAGCGAGTAGCGGGAAGAGCGTGATGATAACCTGTGAGACAAAAATAATCAGGTTGAGTGTCCGTGCTTCCAACTATGCTACGCACCCAAAACGTCTGTTCGCACAGGAAGTTTGGATGGCGCGACCAGGCCCAGAGACCCCGTGTGATGAAACCGCGTTGCGCATCGCGAGGCGTCCACTTAATCCGTGCACCAATCCATTCATTCTTTTCGTGTGCACCAGTATGCTTATACGTCTGAAACGAGTATTGCTGATTGTCTGCCACAAATTCGAGGACAACATCCACGAAGGCAAGTGTGCCGAGTATATAGTCAGATGTGCTCAATCTCTCAGGCTGCTGAAATGCAGCAATATGAGCCGGAACACCCAGCAGAAAGAGAATGACGTTCTGTATGAAAGCTAGAATAGGGGAAGAACGTTCAAGAACGAGGCAGAGGAAACAGAAGAGGGCATACGCACCTATGAAGACCAGGTTGAATACCTGGAATAACCATGGAGGGATTTTGTTTCTGACAATCTGCCATCTGTAGTCTTCGTCGTGGCTAAAGAGAAGAGTAAGCAATGAGACAGAATGGGGATACACAGTTTCTTACAGATTAAACAAACCCCTTCGCCAGGTGTTATACGATAACCTAGGGGCTTTATAGCTCGCACTTTGACATAGCACAAGAGAAATAAACACACCGGAACATCCAGAAGACCTTGAGACAAAGGCTCGTTCATCATTATGCGAACTCGAAATTAGGTGAAGGCACACGCACCACCAGTCCTAACATCAACAGTGCCCTCGGACTGTACGTCTGTGTGATACTCGGGTGAATGACCTCGGGTGTATGCGGCCATAGCGGGAGTGGCGCCTTGTGCGGCCAGAGGGGCAGCAAGGCAAAATAGGCAGTATATATGGTAGGCAGAAAGGTCCACACACGGTCGACCTGTGAAACGTTCCCTGTGATGACGGAGAGCACGAACGCGGCGACGGTCGTCGCTGTGCAGAACTTGACGGGCCACTGGAACGAGGGCGGGATGCCTGCGCGGAGAAAGTCGTCGACTGGAAGCGGAGACATGAAGACCTAGTAGTCGTTATCGAGGTCGACGTCGATTGTCGACCACAGTTGCTGTTGCCCGCAGCCCCACAACGAAGCAACGCGTGACGCACAACAGGGCACATGTTCATTTGCGTTTCCATCAGGGAGTCTTCCCTACAGAGTTCAAACTGCAAACACGCCGAGCATGCAAACATTGACAACTAGCACTTTTATGCATACAGGAAAACAGCGGAATTTACATGCTACCGCAGAGTAATTGATGAGAATGGGGCAAACGTAGCAAAGTTGTAGCTGTTGCGGGACCGTGCAGGGATAGTAAGTATAAAGTCCAGCTGCGAGTCTCCTTCAGCCTGAATGAAAGTAATTCAAGAAGGATGTAATATTTTGGAGACAGAACAGTATTGAAGCTGTACTTACTACGTACTAGCCTGGCGCTACTTGACGCTACGAGTACAAGTCTGTGTATGTGTCTGTTTGGTTAGCTTCAGCCCAACGCTCGCAACGACAGACTACCAGCTCTCTATCGACGATTACCACCATGTCCGTCTCGATCCTCGTCGCCACGTTCCCCCCATTCCCTACCCTATCGCTCTCGGTGCCGCAAGACACTCCCTTCTCTACTGTCTATGATCTCCTTGCCAACCGTTATCCTGAACTGCCTCCCAACCTTGCTCTCTCTCCGAACCGTGGCTGCGCCCCTGCACTCAGCGCGCCGATATCAACACTCTGGTTTTCCAATGATGAAGCGCAAATGCGGGACGAATCTACTCGGCTGGTTACTCTCCGACTCGTCCCTCGTCTCCGAGGCGGGAAGGGAGGTTTCGGCTCTCAGCTTCGTGCTGCGGGCGGTAGGATGAGTAGCCAGAAAACTAGCAATAACGATTCCTGCAGGGATTTGAGTGGACGGAGATTGAGCACGATCAAGGAAGCGAAGAGGTGCGTAGTACACTGCCGAATTTACTGTTGTATATGTTGCCCACCTTATTTGATCAGACTCGCTGACTACATTGAGAGTGAGCCTCTGCGGAAGAAGGCTCAACAGGAAGCTCAAAGAGCCAAGTTAGAGGCTCTCGAGAAGAAGTTGGGTATTGTAGACTCGGCAAGCAGTACAGACCCGGAGCCACTGGCGGGCAAGAAGCATCGCTTTGATGACACGGAATATCTTGAACAGAGCAGGGATCTTGTGGATAGCGTGAAAAGCGCTGTGTCTGTCGGTACGGGTTTCCCTCCCATCCCAATGACTCGTACTGGTATCTGATCTTATGCGACAGCTATGTTGAAGAGGAAGAAGAAAGCGAAGACGTCCCATAGTCCGCCGACAGACAAGACGTCGTCTGTTATCATTCCCGCATCAGCGCCGGCCGCAGCTGATATCAAAGCCCCTGCGGCCTCCGCAACTGATGTCGTACCCGCTGTGTCTGAACCATATGTGCTTGACTCAGCTGGAGCAGCGTCTGTAGTGGGCGGGGCAGCTGCAACAAGTGTAGTAGGACTTGCTGGCGCATGACCCCAAGTATGACCCGTGACCTTGTGTTCATAGATTGTCTGGTTTCGAATAATCGATGATCGACCGTCCGAAACATGCGTATGGCGTGATTATTTCACCCAAAACATCCTGTCATCAATCCAGTTCCCGCCCGCCAACTACTTATATGAAGGCCTTGAGGATCAGCGGATTGCATCCTCAGCTCCTTCAACGATTTACAACATCTGGACATCCGTCCTCGATCCTAATTCTACCATCGAGCCATGTCTACTGATCCCGTTACGTTCTATGGGTTTACCCCTATTGTTCGCGACCCGGAGATTCTCTTCAAGGACCACCCCACAGCCTCCGGTCCCAATCCAAAGCAGGACTTGTTCACTGCAGCTGACTTTCCCCTTCCTGACTCACCGGTTGTTCGTGAAGTGAAGGCGTTCGTGAGGGTGCGTCCACACCTTTTCATGCACCCGTCCTTATACTGACGACAACGCAGAAAGAGCTCGATGACCAAACTTACAACCACAGCCACCGGGTGTACATCTACGGTGTGCCTTCTACATCCCGCTCACAAGGAGTGTATGTACTAATCATCGACGTTGAAGGCACTGCGCTTGTGAAGACGCACTTCCCCAGCTGGTCCTATGACCACGAAACGTACTACCTTTCCTGCCTCCTGCATGATATTGGCACGGCGGAGCGCTTCCTGGCAACGACTAAGATGTCGTTCGAGTTCAAGGGCGCGATCGTCGCGCGCGATCTCATCCTCCAGCAGGGTGGCGTGGAGGACCAGGCTGACAGCGTCTGCGATGCGATCATTCGCCACCAGGACATTTTCGTCACTGGGTGAGTCTATTGTGTTTCCGTGCGCTGGAGGAGTCTCATGCGCGGGCAGCGGAAATATTACCATGATTGGCCAGATCTTGCAGCTGGCGACTATTCTGGGTATGTCTTCAATCATATGTCATGAATGTCGCAGGGTATTAATGTAGATCGCAACAGACAACGTTGGAATGCAAGTCCCTTCTCTCTTTATACGGGAAGCAAACTAAAGTCGTGCATGCACCTACAGTCGCGCCAACTTGATCCACCCCCGCCTGATCGAGACGACCACGGCGGCGTTCCCGCGCCTGGGATGGTCTGAACACTTCGGATGCGTCATCGAGAAGGAGCTGAGGCTTAAGCCCTGGTGCCATACCACGACCTTTGAGGTCCCGAACTGGAAGGAGGGCATTCGCAGCAACTTTGCAACCGATGTTAGGGGCAATGACGTGATGAGGCCTTTCGACTGAGCGTGTTGTCTAAAGACGGCGCAGGCAGTAAAATGATGATGAATGTATAACATGATCAGGATGCCGTAAGTGTGTTCGCGCATTGTCGGGATAAAAAATATGCTGTATCATTTAGCTTGAGATAGCACCAAATGTATTGCCTGCAAATAAAGCGGCCGGTCTACAGCCTGTGGGTGCCCAGTGTCGCAAGATCTTTCTGGCTATGCAAGTGTTAATATGCTTTTTCTCATTTTGGCGTGCGGAGTCCACCCCGGTCCTCTCTGCGAGATGCATCGTTGCCGGTGCTTATGTTCATTTTGTCAATCAAAGCCACTATCACGCACCAGGTACCCCTTTTCATTGTCATTTCTCTCGCTAAGAATTGGCCGCGTCGAGGTCCTCGAGCCCTAGTCTAATTTCACTCGCTGAAAGTAGATCATTGGAGCACGAAGTTCTGACTCTGACTGGCGGTCCGGATATCGTTCATCACCAGCCTGGTCGCATCGACCTGACGACCAGTCTGGACTGCGACGCGCCCATGGCTAAAATGCCACCAGACTGTCTTGTGGCACCCAGTTCTCTTTTTCTCCAACCTTTTCCTTCTCGGACCACACACTATACTTGTGCTCCTACTATCACAATGAATGCCCTCCACGTCAGCTTCGCTGTCTTGGTTCGCGCTGAATCCGCCCAGCGCAAAATTCTCCGCTCTCCACCACCTCCTGGGTCTAAGACACCCCGTTTGCCGACGCTCATCAGGCTGGCAACGCGCCCCCGCTTTCAGCGCAGCGGCTCGAGCAACAAGCAGCAAAGGGAGAAACTGCGCAAGCCCATTGCCTCGCTGGCCGACATCAAGGTCGTCCATGGCTCCGGATGCCGCATTCCTTGCGAATGGTCTGCCGCCGCGATCCCCGGTATCCAGCCATACGCCTACACGCTCCTCCCACTTGGCGTCGCTCAGAGGCGCATGGATATCTCGCACCGCGCGTTTTTGCCTCCGGGACTCCTGGCTTGAGCTCTGGTGTCGACTCGCGCATAAAAGGCACAGGCGACTCATGTGTGGCTGGGGCGCCCATCAAGTTTCTAGGCCTTGGCGGACGCCTCAATCGCATGCGAGGATGACCCTACTTGCCACTCGCCATCTTCTCGCTTCTTCTCAAATCATAAAATCCAAAAACACTAGTAAAAATGGAAAAACCGAAAAATATTTGCACGTTTTTATTCTCTACTGGACATTTTCCCTCTCTATCCCTACCTCCAACCGCTCGTCGCTATTCGCATGCCATCTGTCTGCTAACCCTATTCGCCCTCTCTGTGTCTTTCAGATCCGACAGACGCACTTGATTCCCCGCGCACCGTCAGCCCCAAGGATGCGGATCCTATCCAGGTATGGCTCTCACGCGGTCCAGGACGGCGTGCGAAGGAGTCATGGTCCTAACGACCGCGCCGTTTTGCACCTGCGCTGGTGCCTTTCAGACTTTCCCCCTACTCACACGCACACATTCACCCACGTCCGCTTCCTTGTTACGCCTTCCAGATCCATCTCCTCTCTGATGTAATTTCTAGACACAACTTGTCCAAAGCGCAAGACTTTCTTCAAGGGGAGGTGGACGTCGGGGTGAAGAGCGGACGTTACACCGGCGAGGCTGGGGGAGGGCCTGATCACCCCTGTGAACCTAGCTTCCCCGGAGAATGGCCAAGTATTTCCCCCGTTTTCTTATCTTCGTCGTCTCTAGTCTGCTTGCGTGTGTTGCTGACTCCCAGTCAGCAGTCAATCTTCAGAATACGTAAAGCCAGAGGCAATAAAACAATGAAGCGAGAATAGAGTTTGCGCTCTTATTCTTTTGTTCTTTGATCGCGCATGCTGCCAATTGCGTTACTTGAGTCGCGCTTTTCAGTATATCAGCCGAGATCTGGACGAGAGGTTGCAGCGTACGTTTTGTTCCCCGCCATCTGAAAATAATCTGCTTACCCCTTTAATATAAGCTCCGAGCCTGGATAGACTGCAGCTCAGAGAGCTGTTGAACGGCCTAGCACATGCAACTTTCCTTTGTACTGTTGTCTGATGTGAGGCTAATACCGTCCTCGCCTGCAGTTCTCGCCCCAGTCGGACCAATTGGCGTATGGTTTGCATCCCGCTGCTTTTCAGCATGATCTATAAGTAACATTCTCTGCGAGTAGGTGTCCGTGTGTATCCGGCTGGGAGGGGCGCACGACAATGATTTACCCAGCATAGCAAAAGGTGTCGCTTTTCGGCAAAATCTTACGTTATTCTACGCCGCTCACCTGTGACATCTTATCATGTTTGCAGGATATTTATCCATTCAGCTATGTCCAGGAGATGATCTGCTGTCGGTGACAAGACAGGCTGCGAGGCGAGAACTGGCCACTCTCGTCTCGTATTCTGTCTGGCCGCCGATCGCCCAGGGACAAATAGAGCAGCCATATGGTACGTTCTCTATCTACCAATGTGATTTAAAAATTCAATGATTAATGGTCTGGCGTCATTAGTCCCATACGACGCGGCCTGAAACCAAATACAAGCCTTCGATCTCGATCGCGGCGGATGGTCAGGGGCGCGACATGTTTGTACATATCTGCTGCTCTTCTTTCTGTGCTTGTTGCTTTGTTCGTGACTTCTTGTAGGCGCACGAGTTACCCCGCCAGGAAAGCTTCCTGATGCCTCGGGGAATGGCGGAACGTAGGCATGCAGACTACCGACGCGATGACACCCGCTCTCAGGACGGCCCCAAGAGGGTGAGCGCGCGCGTAAATAGGTCACTCTCGCGCGGTTCGTTTGCATGCTGAGCCATTGTCCGTCACACCTCGAGTCTGAAAGTTGCATTCTTCGGTGGATCGGCGCGTGTGTCACTGGTTCCCTTGTACGATAATGCCGTGTAATTGCACACTCATGAAGACTCTGGCGTGAGCTACGCGCAGAGGGGGTTTGCATTGGAATTTATTATGATTGAAGTCGGAGTACGCGCGACTGACGTCGAGACCAGAAACCGAGACTATTCAACGCGGCAATCAAGGCGATACTCGAGAAACGAATTCGCTTATTCGTGCGCCTATATGCGAGGTGGATTGCGATACAAATTATTACAGTACTTAGCTAGAAAACACTATGTAACTCTCCTGCAACTCTGTCCGCTGTCATCAATGATGCAATCGTATAGTGCACGTGGGCTTGTCTGGGGGTGGATGAGGAGCAAAGTCTTGTCCATGCTCAGATCCCCTGGTACAAATTGGAGGCGGGCATACTCTCGGCCGGTCATCCATTTCGACAGCATAACGTATGTCGGCTCTTCGTATAACACCCAAAGACAGAATGCTACCCACGCATGCTTGAACGTCTCCCTGCTGTGGCACGGATTCTGCATCTGTCTTGAAGCTTATCTCGAGTTCTGAGATAGGGTATCCAACTTGGTGCCGATACATCGTAAAGATATTCAACGCCGTCGAAGATATCCGCGGCTCGTCGTAGATTTTGACAGTCTGCAACAGAGGACAAGGAACAGGCGCAACATTTTCGTTTGAGCGGTAGATGAGCGCTGTCAAGATGGGAATGGTTACACAACCACGTACACAAATGGTGTGCAGAGACGGCGCAGCAGCCAGCACTGCCACCCACATTCGCTCCTCAAAGATTTTCTCCGCGTCCGCCATGTATGATTCGAACCAGAGCTCCGAAAGCCGATCGAGGCCAAGAGTTCCCATCAGCAATACTGAGAAAAATCGACAGCTGCGTGGAGAAAGACGACATCTAAATCGAAATGCCGAACCCCCTCCCCGTTCTGCCGAACTCTCTATCCCAAGCATGTCCCAGACAGAGTCGCAATAGCTGATACTCATCTTGGCGACAACGTACAATCTTTTCCACATGTTGAAGATCATGGGAAGATATCGTTCTATGCCCGAACTTGTACCTTCGATAGGGAGTTCTTGAATGACAGTGTGGACCCCGCGTGGCAGTACCATGTGACAGAAGAGGTGTATGTCTTCCGGCCAGTAATAGGTCAGATGGAGAATACGAAGCTTCGGCAGCGGTACACAGTCAAGGAAGCTTCCCTCTCTGTGTCCAGGGCAGTTCGCAGGAACAGCAGCCCATAGAATTAGTTCTTCAAGGGTGGGGTTTGCCCGGAGGGTGTCCAATAGTTCTGGGAGAGTGTATGTCCCCTGGTCAGCCTGGCGAATGAGGTGCAGACGAGTAAGGTTTCGGAACTGGTCCTGAGGGAAGGGCTCGCATGGATAAATGCACAGTTTTGTCAAACGAGGCATTACTCCCCCAAATAACCCGTCCAGCGTATCGCCCCAGTGGAATCGGTAATACCAGACAAACGATAGACGTTCAAGTAATGGTGCGGGGTTGACCATAATCTCGACACCATCAGCTGCCTCGTCGTCGGTCAAGTTATAATCGGTGTTCACGTGGAATTCTTGGAGTCGTGCCGCGTAGTTGTTGAGCAACCTGAGCAAGTTAAGATCCGACGATGTCATGTATATCTTGACCGGAAGCGGCGCGGACCGCCGCAGGCGCGTCTCAAGTGCTGCGACACCCATTGGCCAAGACACGGGGATCCTGGTCCATAAGCGGGGGAACGATTTCGCGGCAAAATACCAGTGCTTGCAGACCAACATGGTCTCTTCCAGGGCCCGATTAGCCTCTAGGATGTCACAATAGACGCGCTCGAAGTCCCATATAAAGTCGTCGTCTTCTATGAAAAACAAACGAAAGATGTGCGTAAGAGTTTCCAGTGGAAGGGAATGGATTCCAATCATCGTGTCACTTTTAAGTAGAACGGAAATTAAAGAGGGGAGCCACGGCCAGCCGCTGCTCAAAATCTGTACAAAACGATATTCAGGGATTGTATAGGAAAGAGGCGGTTTACTGACCAACAAATAGTTCGTGGCAAGAAATGGGCAGAGAAGGGAGTGTCGATTTATCTCCGATTCAAGGAGAGTGAGCTTGTTGTGGAACTTCACCAAACACCGGGCATGACTTGTTTCTCCATATCCAGGGTTTTTAACGGTGAATGTTCATAGACAATGGGACACCTCCATTGTACGGAACCAAGCGCGCGGACTCACTAGTAGTGGTTGTATTGTATTCAATAAATCGTTCGGATCATGACGGCCCAGTACATGAACGTCACTCCTCTCTACATACCTACTCACTTCTGTATAAGCCCATTCACATAAGTGAAGTATGATACTGCATCTGTTAGTGGCTCAAAACAATCGATCAGGATCAATACCCTGGCAGGCACGCATGATACTTCCTGTAAGTAAGTAAAGTAATAGATGAGAACAATGTGGGAGATTGATTACGCGACAAGAGTTGACGAACCGGACGAAACTTGATTGTGTTCAAATATTCATGTGGAGGCCCGGGAGATTCAAACGGTCGCAGACCACTGCCATGTGCGATCCGTCCACTGCCGGACTGTGAACTTCAAAGTCCGACTCACAGACCACAAAGTCCAACCGTGGCAGGAAGACACGGTCAAGTCATCCTCTGACCTAGTCTTTCTCTCGTGGAAGTGCAGCTCCTATTCATTTTTACTACATTAGAGTTGCAGCGGACCCGTTCTTCTCCAATTGCTGCTGGCTCAACAAAAATGGCGATGAGTGCCATTCATTGGTTCCCTTTGGAAACTCTGGCTCATGTTTTTGAGTGCTTTTTGCCTGATCTCGAGTCAGTCTCATCGTCAGTTGCATACTGGGAGACGACCACTGCGAATAAACAGCTTGGTCAACTAATGCTCGTCTGCCGCCAATGGTGCGCGGCCATGCTTGCATTTCCGAAGCTTTGGACCGCGATCGCTGCAAACTCGACTACCAGGCACTCGACGGTCCAAACATATCTGCGGCAATCTGGAAGCCTTCCACTGCTAGTGTATTTGGAAGACCATCGCAGCGTTCAATCTTTCATACTGTTCAATTACAACGCATTTCGGCTCAAGGGGTTTCACTGTTCGTTCTATACGGATTCTTACCAAGAAGTTTATCGCTGTCTGTCGCTCATGAACAATCCAATGCCTGTACTCGAATCGATGTCTTTGCAGTGGAGCTATGGCTCTAACATTGATGGTAACTTGTTCCTTTGTGTCCCCATGCCGTGCTTGAAGCAACTGGAGTCGGAACCTTGGCTACCGGCAGGTCAAAAGTTCAGAAACCTCACATCTCTGCGTCTTGACAATTTGTCAGATGATAGTAGCCATTACTTCAAGTTGCACTGCTTGCTCGAACTACTACGTGCAAATCCTGGCCTCGAGTCGTTATGCCTAAACTCTTCCGTTCCCGGCCGGTGTCCTATGTGTAGCGATGTAAGTGATGACGGAAATAGTAATGACGGAGAGAACGCCCATGACGATCACGGCGGTCCCCAAATTCTTTTGCGGAATGTTGTCTGGCTTCCTCGGCTTTCCTTCATATGTGTTTCGTACGATCATCCAGACAATCTTCACCTCTTCCATCATTTAGTGCTTCCTAATGCGCTCGAGTGTATAGTGGTGCCGGTCGCATGGGGAGGGTACCCAAACGACGAACTGGATGAATACTTTTTGCCCTTCTTACGAGACGTATTCGAGGGGGCCGCAGTCAGCACATTCAGTGTTTGTCATCGCAAAGACTGTTTCAGAACGGCCTATACCTGTCCAAATGGGCGGACTGTATGGTTCAGGACAAACCCGTCTTTGTCTGCTCACCCAGAATTTCATTCTCTGGTTTGGAGAGCGCTATTGAATCGACTTAGGTTCACGCACCTCTCCGAACTCTGGATCGAGGTGCATCTCAGTTATACAGCAGCTTTTCTTCACTCTTTTACGTGGGTGACAATTCTCCATGGTATGCCTTCATTGCTCGTTCTTGGCATGCTAGGCGATGCTGTGGATCCCACACTCCATGCTCTCGTTAGCTATTTCGTCAAGGACGGGGGCGGATATGTCGTTTGTCCCAACCTACAAACGTTAGTGATCCATGATCCGCCAACGCTGTCGTTGACACTTCTCCACGACGTTCTACACTTTCGTTTCTCACATGGAAGTCCGATTCGAAACCTCCATGTTTCATTCAGTGGATGCAATTCTGAGGCGATGTGGCCAAAAGGTCTAGGTGTACAGGGGAAGTTTGGAGTGGAACAGGTGGAATTGCAATTTCATGCGAGCGCACCAAAAATGACAATGCACTGGAAGCACGAGCGTGCCATACAAGCGGAGCTCACACTGGTATGACCTGTATGTTGCAACATTACAGGCTTTCAATCTCGTTTCGACTTACTGCGGCCTTCCTACTAGTTAAGTTTTCTTTCCATGCCACATGGTAATGTTCTTATTCCACTGAATCCCCATCAATTACATGCGTGTGTAATTCAGATTGCTTCTTATGTTGTCTATTGAATACAAAAACACGCCACTTTCCTTTATAATGGACTTGAATTGTGGATATGCTAGGTTGGTGAATTGGCAGTGGGCGATGCGGCGGCCATATTTATGAGATGTCAGCGGCCTCTGAGGAGGGTTTGGTTTACCATCCACGCGCGCGAGCGCGCCTCCTTGACTTCGATGACTGCTCCTACTTACCCCTCATCTGCGCCAATTCGACGCAATCAAGTCCTTTCTGCATTCTGTATGGATTACAATATTCTTGTCGACGTCTGGTCACCATTTCATCAATCGACGACGATCTCTGATGTGTCGAGGATATCCGCCATTCACTGTGAATTGAGAGGGGACCATGAGCTGGAGTGTGGGTTGCAGAACTCGTCTGAGTGGTCGTGTAAGTCTTTCTCAGATCTGGGTCTTCACATATATAAAAGCTGGTCATCATTGAATGGTTGATCATGACCGTCTTCACTGGGACGTTCGGATCTGCTTGGCAGTTGAAGCGTCCCGCTGAATAGACCTTACAGACAGTCGCTCTAGCTCATATATCTCAGAGGAGAATCTGATTATGCACAAGGGTCAGAGCTGTACCACAAAGGGCCCATGCGCAGGCAGTGCACTTTATTCCAGACCATTCTTGGCGCCCTTTGTCCTCTTCTTAAGGGCCTTCTGTCTTTTGTTTCTCTCTCATCTCCTTCTCTCGCAGACCCTCTACTTCCAGCCCTCATTAGCCGACAAACAGGTTGTGTGTTGACGCTGCTTTTTCACTCATATCTCCCATCGCGTCCACCCGCCACATCGAATCAATACTGTTACACCGACACCAGTGACGCCACACCTTAACCTCAACCCGCCTCTCCTCACTGAGTCAGTTGTCGGATCTCTGGATCAGTATCGCATATAGTCCAGTTTTGAAGGTGAGCGGTTCGGCGTGATATTATTATTCGGCTGTTGACAAAACACTAGTGCTTGTTGCCTCGGACACTCGCAAAGTATAATCCCGTTTATCCAGCGCCACAACAGCTCTAAAACATGTTGGTACGGAACTGTGGTCTCCAAGATACGCATCAGACATTTGACACCGCGATACTTCGAACTCCATAGATAGAACCGTGGAACCCAAGAACCCAGTCGAATACACCGTGTAGCTGCCCCCACAGAGGCACTGACGCCCAGTACAACATTATACACTGGAAATTTCATGCCGAGCTTGCTGAAGCGCGGTCGGCCACTCCTCAAAAGAGGGGGGAGTTCTTGGCAATGGCTCGGATTCAAATCAATACTTTCATGAGCAAATTACAAGGCGATGAAAAACGTCTGGCTGATCTTGAGTTCAATCTTTGCATACGCGGAACGGGGTCCAAGGCTAGTACGAGCCAGCTGCGCAGCAAAATTGGAAAGGATAAAGAGCTGTTGGCGTCGTTGAAGGAACAGCTTCAATCGTGCACTGAGTACTTTGCCAATTTAGACAGGTGTGTACATGTCGTCTGGTGCCTTCTATTATTACTTATTCAGTCCACGTCGGTAGGCCCTTTCCCCCGCCCAGGACAGGCCCCCCAAAGCCTACCTACGTATCCCCAAACAGTACATTGCCCAATGGTCCCCGATCACATTCTCCGTTTCGTGGTCAAGTGCCAAATGTTCTTAGACCCCAGGCCCCACTAACGGGCTCGACTCAATCCATGCCACGCCATCCTCCTTCTCCTACGGGATTCTTTGGAGCTCCCCGCGCCACGAGCTCGCCTGTTTCTCAGCCACCTCTTAATTCATCTCACGCGCGGCCAGATAATCACCAGGCACCTAAGGGGGCGCCGGACATGTCAACGCATGCTGAAGTCGATATCTTGACGGCGCAGGTCCAACAGCTCAAGGACCAACTATCGCAGGTGTCCTCTCGGCTCGAGCGACTGACGGAGCGTCTGAAGGAGACGGGTGCCGCTGATTGTGAAGGACCAAAGCACAAACCTCAAAGCGCCAAAGATGCATCCCCTCCGCCCGGTGCTCCGACTGTGAAGGATGTGCGACGGGCCGTACAAGACATACAGCGTATGAAGGAAGAGTTTAGGATGCGTGGGTTGTGTTGTCAGTCAATATTAATTGAGTGCTAAATCTTTTTTCGCAGGTATCAGCCGAATGCCCCACGTCTTTATTCCGCAGATACAATGGGATCCATTCGCGAAGCTGTACACAGAGGCGAGTGCGGAAGCAGCCCTCATAGAGCCAGAACTGCCTGTCTATGTTTGCACCTTCGATAGACATACCATCAGACGACTAATTGCGACCGTGAGTCACTAACATGCCTACTTTATATGAGCTGACTCAACTTTTGTTGTCTAAAGCTGATGGTCATCGAATATCTGAAGCACGGTCGTGAGCAGAAGAAGATTCATAATATGATAGATCTAGAGAGCTTGTCTCTCACAGTACGGTTCATGAAAGATATCAAGAAGGCCCTCTCGTCTGGAAAGAATCATGTTTACAGCAAGGACAGCGAGTCTTCTAGCTGTTTTGCCTCTCTGGTCGAAATTGAAGAGGAACCTAATCTGCCGGTAACAGTGACTCGCCCGGCTTCTACGGAATACGTGCCGACGACAGGGTTGAAGCGAGCGCGCGAAACATCTCCAGATGAAGAGGACGACGATGATCATGATTCGCGTCCGAAGAAAGCGCGACTCGAGCATGGAGCGGAGCAAGGGAGCGAGCCGCACGGCTTGTGAAAAGATAGATCCCTGGTGATGTTTCTCTAGACTCCGCGGGATCCCCTGCTTCCTGCGTTGAGGTCTTCCTCTGTTTCTCTACGCTCCGCGGAATCTGTTATTTCCTGCGTTGAGCCATTCCTCTGTTTTTTAGACTCCGCGGAATCTCTAACTTCCGTCGTTGAGCTCTGCCTCGCTACTCTATGACCCTTAGACTTAAAGAGACTATACTTGTTTATACCTGACATATCACTGGTCTCTTCCGCGCACAAGTTGCGTGTAGTAGTTGTCCATGTATTGGACGCACAGAATACAATCATATATAAAATGGAATTTCAAATCTATATTTCCCCAAAATTGGGCTAATTAGACTGGTGCTATCATGGTTGCCATGACGAACGTTCAGTCTAAGTGAGGGTGCACTGAGGGATCATATCCGAACTCGGTTTGGACGTTCAGCAAATGCTTCCACGGCACCGACATTCTTAGACGGTCTTCCTCCAACTTCAAGTCCAACTGAACCTGCTGAATACCAAATATTCCTCGAAGTCGCTTAAGCGCACGGAGCTCCTCCCGCAGCGAATACTCATACACATCGGGATCCAAGAACGAAATGCGCAAGTCGGGGATGGGATGGCCCAACTGGAACCGAGACTGGAGCAACATCTCAAAGTGACGTATCGAGATCTCCGGCTCATTGTGTATGATGAGTGTTTGCAACTTCGGGCAGATGAGGGATAGACAAGTGCGCGAATCGGGAATGATGGCGGGCAGAGCTTGTAGAATGGGATTGACAACGTCACCTCGCGCACAGAGGGTCTGGAGGGATGGCATGGCGCGAAGAACGTCCGTCCATGTTACCTCGCTAAAGAGCACGATCCCGACATCCGACTCTATCCACAGCTCCGTTGTGTCTTCAAACGAGAGCCGGGACAAGATTCCATCCCAGATTTTCCCGTGAAAAGCAGGAGGGTTCGCGGAGGCGGCAGGGTTGACGCGAAAACGCAGGATGGTCCCGCGCTTGTTGATACAGAGAAGGTCCAGCTTTTTCTCTCTATGACAAATGCTCAGTTTGCTGACTTGGCCAAGGGTAGCGACGTAGGTGTTCAGGAATGGGAGCAAGAACTCATCTATCTCCTCGCTCTGTTCTGTAGAGTCCACGACGAGACATTCGTGGGTATCCGGTAGCACTAAGTGATTGAAGATGTGCAGATCGGCGGCGTAGTGGAATGCAACGTAAAGGTAGGACAGTCGAGGGAGATGGACGGGATTCAGAGACATCTCCCTCGTTATACCATCCCTGTCGGCGAAGCATGTGAAACAGCACCCCGAGACGGCCGCGTATAGGACCAGCTCCTCGAGGGCGGGGTTGGCACGTAATGTGTCGATAAGAAAGTCGAACGGCATGTCCTGATCGTCTTGCAGGTGGGTCAGGCGTAAGCGAGTGAGCCCTAAGAAACGCGTCGGAGGGGGCTGCCACGGTCCCACCTGGAGCCTTGTAAGACTTGGAGTCTGTCCAGCGAAGAGTGAGGCGAGATCGACGACCACATCAGTATCATACTGCCAGCCAAGGTATAACGACTGAAGGATGGGAGCAGTGTTTGACATCCGAGACAGGCAGGAGAGGCGAGTCTCCACGTCTGCATAGCTCACATAAAGGAAATCCTTGATCCTAAATGCATTTGCGTTCAGCAAATCGTAGGTCTCGAGCTCTGTGTGAGTGCTGAGATATACCCTGAGAGGGTGTGCTCCAGAACGCTTCAGCAAGATCTTCAATTTCGCAGGGGTTGTACTTCCTCCAGCAGTAATGGTGGACCATAACGATGAGGCAGACAGCGCAGCTGCGCGCCACTGGTAACAAACCGAGACAGCTGACTCAAGGTCCCTGTTGGCATTTGCAAGATCGGAATACACATAAGGGAAATCGTCTGAACCGCCCTCTGCGCCAAGACACAGATGGGAGGCAGGGAAGAGGAACGAGAATATATGGCTGAGGGTTTCGATGGGAAAGCGGTGGATGCCGCAGGTGCCGTTTACGTTCATGGCGCTGATGGTCTAGCGAAGACGACAGGAAGACACAGCAGTGGCGCGTGTGAGGACGATGAAGGCACTAGAGTGCAATGTGTGGATATTGACCCGAGAGAACATTGTCATTTTATACTTGGACTCGGAGGCGCCTGAAACGTGGCGCAATTGCCGAGTGGTGTGGAGAAGGATACAATTGAAATTTCGAGCTCGAGAGACACTAGCGGCGCGATACTGAAGTTCCTCACTCGCCGTGCTATACTTTATGACAATACTTGTACTAAAAACCGGTGAGATCTGTAAGTAAGGAATACCCAATGATTTGAAATCAATAATCACCCTCAAAGTAAGCACTGGGCTTACGCCACACCGACGCGGGGCACAGCGCACGATATCTGATCGTGGTGGAAGCCTTGACAACGATTGGTTGCCAGGATCATCTTGCGAACGCGCGCAAATGGACTTTGTTGTCTATGCGTTGCGAAGGCAAGCGTGGATCCCCGCGGAGTGGGTTTATGAAATGCCTACCTTTGTCCGCTTGCTTTTCCCAGTTGTTAAACGGCCCTAAGACTACCGTTCTCCCTTAGTGCCCTAGTCTCTTCTTGCATCTCAAAATCATCGGAACCGTAGAAGGGCAGTGCGGGCTCAGACAAGATTCCTGCTGTGCATACTGCGTTTGAGGCTTTTCGACGCAAACATGTCTGAAGCGGATTGCTAGATTTAAGGTGGACCTAGCCATAGTGCAGTCTGTTGCAGCGGTCTGCACGCATGAACTAATAAGGTTTTCGTCGTCGATCACTCTCGGAGCGCTCGCTCGACGAACAACGTGATCGCGTTCCTCTCTCAGGCTATATGCGAGTCCCTTCCAGTATGTCGAACTTTGTCGACCGAACGTCTAGCTGAATCGAGGAAAAAAATATTGCTATGTTGTGCTGATTTTGAACCGGGTTCATGTAGTGCAAGTCCAGTAACATTTACCGGATATTCAAATATTCTACCTTCGAGCTTCGGGTCTCAGTCGACTAGTAAGTCTCTGAACGCAACTCGGTATTGTTACAAATGAATTGCTCTGGCGTTCAGACCGTCAGATAACGGCTGAATCAATGAAAGACAGTCTTCTCGTCGGAGACACAGCATGCCACAAGTCGTCGTGGCATCCACGTTGAGCATGTCGCACAAAGGGTCCACAGAGCTGGAGCTGGAATCCCACTCAAGCCACACGCAGAATATCCCATCTTCCGCTTTACTTTGCTTTGACACTTATCCCCTCAGCCCCTCTCACCTCTGCACTCCGGAAATAACTTATCTGCGAAACAATATGCCACTCAGTGACGCTACCACTATCTTGAATCCGGAAAATTCACCTTGGACGCCAGAGAAGCCTTACGTTCCGCCTTACCTCAATATGCCTCCTGATGCTAGGAATATACGCTTGGCGACCGCGTACCTTGCCGCACTCAAAAAGGAATATATCAGACGTTCGTCCTCGCGGCTACATACTCTGGCTGTGCTCATTTAATTCTCCTGGATTGATCAGGTTTTCTCGAGAGAGAGCCTTATTGTATTCCACAGGAAGAGCGAGACGAGTATCACAACCTCTTCACGAAGTTGTGCGCTTCTGTGGAGGTTGTCGCGCCGTACATTGTTCTGTATGTGTGCGCGTTCGACGATTTTAGTGTGAAGAGGCTCATCGCCATTGTACGTTAGCCCTTGCATCTTAGTGGCTTGGTCTGATGAGCTGATCGTATGCTCGTATATAGACGCTCGTAGTTTCTTTTCAGAAAAGAGCGTACGAAAAGGGACAGCCTTACGAGTACCTGAGCAAAGAGTCCCTAAAGTCAGTCCTGGATACAGTAGAGGTCGCGATTACGTTGTTGCCGTACCCGCAATTCCGCAACAAGCTCCCGAGCTATGATCCATTCATGGTGGATGTGGACCTGTACATCAAATAATCAAGTTGGACAAGCCACAAGAATCAAGACAGCTCACATCCTGTTGTGCACAGCGAGATTCTTAAATTTAAATCGCATTCTTAGCGCGCATACTTGTGTGGCCTGGTCCTGCGACTGTACAGCGTACTGCAGTTGAATACATTCCTGTTGCGAAGTTTGAAGCACGTGAGCGCGTTTGTTCAAATGAAATTCAAACAATTCGGAATGAGTCAATTACTTGAGAATCGTCCGACTCATCCGTCTGCTCAGTAGCCGCGCTCGCAAAGCCTCCATATATTTGAACATCTTTGAGCAGGTCACTTCTTCCTCAATGGCAGCACTCGACGCCACAGTTGTCCCTCTCACACCTTCTACGCTCGCATCACTCTCACCTTCATCAAAAGCATGCATCGAACGGTTGCACTCACATCGCGCAGAGGAAGTCGACCTGTGCGTTCTCTCCTTCTACGGCACGACTGTTAACTAAAATATGGATTCGGTCAGCTCAGGGCAGGCGCGTTTGGCAGCAGTGCTCGTGTTACTGTATGAAAAGGCGGACGAGCTGCGCGTGCTCCTTACGACGCGCTCAAAGACGTTGCGCGCACACCCGGGAGAGACCGCGCTTCCGGGCGGGAAAGTGGACGAAAATGATGCAAACGCTGTAGCGACTGCCGTGAGTCTTGTCCGTAATAACTCGATATCTTTACTCAGTGGTCTTGCTGGATGGGATGCGCTGTTGCACATTGCAGTTTCGCGAGGCAAACGAGGAAGTTGGGTTGCCTTTGAATTGTCCCTCGATACACACTGTATGCGTCATGCGACCGTTTCTGTCCAACCGAAAGGTCGTTGTTTCGCCCATCGTTGCCCTTCTAACGGACCTGTCGGTGCTCGATGGACTGAAGGCGAACGAGGGAGAGGTAGACCACATCTTCGACCATCCACTCCGCGCGCTTCTGGATCCCGCCCTTGTGGGCAAAGAGAAGATGTCGAAGAAAGGATCTGCGGACTGGCCGTATGAGGCTGAGTTTCACGTGAGTAATGTGAGCGAAACGTCTGGAAGTCAATAAGTAATGAGAATGCTCCGCAGAGCTCGGAAGACAGGCGGCTAGTGTTTCTTGAGAATGCCATCTATCGGATGCATCGATTCCGAAGCGGCGCATCACCTGTTAAAGGCCTCACGGCAGAAATATTGGTACGTGCGGCCTATCGCATTGGTGCGTGTACCGATTATGCCGGGTCAATTTCAGATGACCGTTGCGGAGATCGCATATGGCGAGCATTTCACATTCGAACGATATGCCCCGGAGCAACTTACCAGCTTCAATGCAGTATTACGGCTCCTGGATGCTGTCAATTCTGCAGAAGTCGCTGCATCTGGTACGTCGACGCCTATAGGAGTAGCGTCTGGCATGTCGCACGCGACAGCGTAGAGGCAGAAAGTGTTATCTTATGCGTAACGTATTTGGAGGGATGCTATGTACCGGTAATCAGCTTTCTGTGGATTAGACATTGCTTATATCAGATGTTTCTTCTTCGTCGAGACGTCAAAGCCTCGCTAGAGCAGACGAGATTTCGGCGAAGTCGGATTGGGCAGGTGACGCACATCCGTGCAATTCCCCGCCATCAAGAGCGGTTTGAGTCATTGCGAGCGAATTGCGAGAGTATCGACCGGATTCCACTGTCTGGTGTCCACTGTTTCTGTGACGACATATCTGTAATTGTTATTTTTTGGCGGACGAGCATGTCTCAATTCTAAGTCTCCGCAATCTAATGGCATGTTTCCCCACTGATTCCTCATTGACACCGGCTCAACTGCCGGTGGGAGAAACAACCAGTTGTCTGGCGAGGCGCTGCTGACTCGGACTGTATCGAGTCGCCACTGGAAGTAGATCCGCCCTTTGGCCGATCGATCTGGCAATCGCGCGGAATTTAAGCGGCAGACCCGACTTTTGTTTTCATTCTTGAGTGCGGCAAAGCTCTGAGCATGTCTTGACTCTGCAACCTTTCGATTCATGCGGGATGTCTCTACTCTTCAAACATCTCCGCATCCATCAAGTCTTTGGCGCAAACACCGATGTCGGCAAGACAATCCTCACCACTGCTCTCGTGCGCGCATCCGCCGCGTCAGGCGTGCCCGTTCATTACCTGAAGCCCGTTAGCACTGGTCGGATGGAGGATGCGGATGATATGTACGCGTTCCGTGACATTTCCCCTGTTTGAATCTCACGATGAAAGTATAACAGGCATATTGAGCGCTTTGCTGGCGCACAGAACAAGATGATACAAAGCGCATGTCTATACAGATTTGGGGAACCTGTCAGTCCACATCTGGCGGCAAAGCTTGCAGGAACAGAGAGCCATAGACAGGTACATTGGAACTTATCCTGGTACCTGGATGTCGTTCTCATATCTAGCTTGAGGTTCCTTCCGATGCCGATTTTTTGACCACTGTTTCGTCTCACATCAGGCAGTCGGCCGCTAGCTCCGCACAGAATAGTCATATGTATGTTGAGACTGCTGGAGGTAAGTATCTCATACTTTTTCGTAATTTGCATCTGCATGATCCCTCCAGGTGTCCACAGCCCGACACTCTCCGGGACGACCCAAGCAGACTGCTACCGTCCCCTTTTTCTGCCGACTGTCCTGGTTGGAGATGCTAATCTCGGCGGGATCTCCTCGACCATCTCCGCTTATGAATCACTCCTCCTTCGTGGCTATATCGTTGACCTCATCCTTCTGTTCCGCGACGAATACTACCGAAATGCCGAATACCTTGATCCATATTTCGCGGAGCGTGGCATACGCTTACTTTCTCTGGAGCGTCCACACTCGCGCCTTGCGAATCCTCGTGACGAACGCGTAGAGATGGAGCGATACTACTCTCGACTTGTTCCTGAGCAGAAACAAGGCGGTATATTCGATGCCTTGGGGCATCTCGGCTCATGTCACGAGAAGAGAATTGCTGAGCTAGACTCCATGCCCCAGCGCGCGCTAAATACGTTATGGTGGCCATTTGTGCAGCATGGACTGGTTGTTAGTAAGGCAGACGTGAACGTCATTGACAGCGCGTCACACGACTTTTTCTCCGTCTATAATGGCCATAAGACCAATCCTCATCCAGAGACAAGCTCGTCGATGTCTTCTGTTCCCTCCGCATCATCTTCGTCACTCTTGGAACCTCAATTGGATGGGTCTGCATCTTGGTGGACGCAGGCTCTTGGCCATGCTAAGTCTGCACTGACGCTCGCCGCTGCTCGTGCTGCAGGCCGCTATGGACACGTCATGTATCCCCAAGCAGTGCATGCCCCTGCCCTGCAACTCGCTGAGCGGCTCATACATTCTGGCCCAGGGCATGGTTGGGCATCGCGCGTATTCTTCTCGGACGATGGCTCCACAGGCATGGAGGTCGCACTCAAGATGGCTTTACGTGCGTTCGCCGTGCGCCATGGTATTGTCGGTGCCGCGCGGAAGCAGTTAGGCGTGTTGGGTCTTCGAGGGAGCTACCACGGGGACACGATTGGAGCTATGGACGCCTGCGAGGAAGGTGTGTATACGTGCGAGTGGCACCAAGCGCGCGGATACTGGCTCGACGCACCCACAATTGGAAATCGCAAGGGACGGATCGACATTTCTCTCTTGCCTGCCATCGCTGAAGATGCTGGATATGATCACGTCGAAGTTGGTTCGTTACATGAGGCGTACGACGTTCGGAGCAGGCTATCGACCCCGCTCGCCGCTGTATACAGACGGTTCGTCGAACGCACGTTAAAGAAGCTGAAGGAGAACGGCGGCCCGACGTTGGGAGCACTCGTACTGGAGCCGCTCGTGATGGGCGCTGGTGGAATGATCTTTGTTGACCCCCTCTTTCAGCGCGTCTTGGTTGATATCGTGCGCGGGTCGTCGCCTCTACGCGAAGGAGAGTGGTCTGGACTCCCCGTCGTCTTCGACGAGGTGTTCGTCGGCTTGTATCGCCTCGGCGTGCGGAGCGCGTCCTCCATTCTTGGAGCCTACCCTGACATCAGCGTCCATGCGAAGATCCTCACGGGCGGACTTGTACCCCTCGCAGCGACGCTCGCGTCTGACTCTATCTTCAGTACATTCTTGAGCGAGAACAAAACCGATGCGCTGCTGCACGGCCATAGCTACACCGCGTATCCAGTTGGGTGCGAGGTTGCGAACGAGACGCTGGCCATTGTGGAGGAGCTGGCCGCGAGCAGCGCGTGGGATGATGCACGCATGCGGTGGGGTGCACCGATAGGCGAAGGGGAGAGGCAGACGGCAGTCTGGAGTTTTTGGGACCCGGCGTTCGTTAGCCGTATTGCAGCACTGAACTGTGTGAGTGAAGTCATGGCCCTGGGGACGGTGCTCGCTGTGCACATACGCGATGAAGCTGCTGGTGCGTAGGACTCTTCAGGTGGACGTATATGGGCGATCTGACGTCTATGCAGGATACCAATCGCATTCCGCGCATAAAATGCTCGAGCCTCTTAATTTGCGCACGGATGATGCTCTTCCGTCATCCGCCCCTGGAGGAGCGCCGTTTGGGTTCCACTACCGGACGTTGGGCAACGTTGCATATTTCATGCTGAGCCTCAACACGCCGTCTGATGTTGTTCGTGCGGTAGAGGAGAGGATACTTGTTACTCTTCAGGCGACTGATACTGTATAACTTCCGAATGGCGACGCCTTCTCATAAAGTAGGAGGCTTGGGCATGCAGGACAATCATCTCCTTCCCGTCAGTGAACTTTTACCACCGCACAGGAATGGCATGATTCACCCGAATGCACTTCTCCTTGATTCCGACTGTTCCTCTTAGATAGCACGAGAGTTGACAATGTAGCCAGACTGTGTGACCCATTTGAGTATGTTCGAGAGACAGGTATGGGGGAATTGCGGCCGTTTTGGATTCTCGATGCTATTTTTGTGATTATTTTTTTTCAAGCAGGTTGCCCGAGTACATCTAGGTCGAGAATCTGAACGGCGACCCTGTGTGTCTGAGTGCTGCAATTTTGGAGGGAGGTGCACCTCGAGACCACCAAGATATGTTGCCGGTGGATGCCCATGCCAGACCCGGAAGTCTCCAACAAAGTGGCGAAGCGCACTTCCATTCCTTGTTTTGAACAGCGGGCGGTTGCTCATGCCACTATTCCCCATCATTTTTAGGATTCAAGATTTGTTGCCCAATTGCGAAGGCCAGCCGCACGGCCCAAGTGCTGCAAATGGACCTCCGGATTAAGTACTAATCTTTACTGGCTACATAATTGACTCATAAGATTTGAATTACGTATGGAATCTTGAGAATGCGCGGAACAACGAGTACACTATGCGAACCGGGTTCAATCAAGATATGTCAGTCCATCAAGACGTTCTCATCATCTGTTCTCTGCCTGAGTTTTCTGCAACGAACGAACAAAATCCAGAGCTGTTTGAATTCCTGCATTGGAACGGTTCGAATACAAAGATACTCATGCTATTATTTGTTCCCAGCTTCACGTGTATCATGTTGATAATGTGAGTCGAATTTACTTCCACTTACCACTAGTGGGCTAGCGTAATGTGCTATTCCAATCTCGTTGAGATGATGGTGGAATGGGAAGCCTCGTCTCTCCCCTACATTAAACCGACAGCCTCACAGGGTATTTTTCAGATTGGAAGTACTAACGGTCGTTCCAGGCTAATGCATAAATCAAATAAATACGTCTGATAAGCAACTACGGCGCATATTAGCGACACGATTCATCCCAACTATTGTTATTGTTGTCTTCGACGCTCAGCGTCTGTCCTTTCTAACCGTGAACAGGTCCTGCGAAGCCGGAGGAAGAGCGAGCTATGTTCCAGATTCAAGGAGACACCGAGACGACCCGCACGACCTCTCTTGCAGATACGACTGGCCGGACTTCCGCGAGCAGGCATAGACGCAGGGTCGCTCAAGCGTAGAGAACGTTTGACTCACGGAAGTGGGGGTGCACCAACCATATTCGTTGATTGCGGACTACAGTAGAGAATAGTTGGTCGATTGGGGTTCTCATTAGGCAAAACACAGCGCTCACCTTGTCCAGGTAAACTGATGCACTTCCTGTATGGTCAATGTGTGAATCTCCGTGGCCACCTTCAATCTCCAACGGTCGACAGCCCTTGAAGACGAAACCATTCCAAGGTGCGAGAATGAGGGCTCCTGCTTGACTGTGTACAACACGGGGGCTGGAGGTCCTTCAAGAGACCGGTGAAATAACCAGTCATTTCCGTTATTAGTGCTGAAATGTTCATGCGGCGGAATTGGAAGCCAGGGCTGAACACTCGACATTGGTAATTGCGCTAGAATCCTCCCAATTGGCTCTATAGACGGATCAGAGATGTACGACATTAAACAGATATTCTCTACCTGTAGGACGGACTAGATGCGTGCCCGACATAAGCGAATCAATGTGGTGAAGTTCTTTTAGAATGGAATTGTCAAACTTATACTATGAGTAGAATAAGCAAATCAAAAAAACCTTGGGATGCCCTTCCACTGACTATAAAACCATACTGGTCCCTACATCTCAAATGAGACAAGTAGAAGCATAGAAAAACAAAGAAAAACCACAAGGCGCACACGGTGTGGGGAGCTTGTGATGGAGTCGGTGGCACACTTGGCAACCCAACACTACAAAAATGATGACAGCTCTGCCTTCAAGGGAAATGATAAATCTTACTTGTTACTTAATGATGGTTCGGATGCCTGCGCGAAGGAAGATTCGGGACCAAAATCAATATACGAGTCCATAAAGCTGAATTCGTTTTCGGTTGGTATTCGCGTCTGCTGCCACTTTGCGTCCCATTCGAAGGCAGAGACATTGATGTTCATCGAGGAGAGTATAGCAGACACAAGAAGCTAGGGTGTCGGGTGTTTGCTGGAAGTGGCTCGTGGATGCGGTGTTGAGGTTGACGCACTGCGATCGTAGTCTTATAAGTACCGTGCATTAGATAACTATAGGTGAGGTGAAGCAGCCACCGTGCCACACATCGCACTGGTCGCTTAAATGGGACATGCACATTGCCTCTAACAGGCCACACGCAATGCGGGAGAGGAAAGCCGGGGTGGAACAAAAACACGAGTGGCACGTCGCGGCATATCACCTTACAATTCGTCCCTCCGCCCAAGACCAAACACCAAACACAGTACGCATTAGTATGGATAAAGCCTCGTTCAAGCCATTCACACCCCAACCGCACTTTGCAGTCTCCCGAGAAAATAAAATGAAGTCATACCTGGTTCAAAGATAGTCGAGACTCGACCCGATGTGCCCTCGCGTCCTTCACCCAGCGTAGGAGCAAATCTAATGATACAGCCTTCTTCCATGCTCCGTGACGTTCTGGATAAGTCACAAACAGTAAGCCGTTACCAACCCTGGCATCGCCACATGGACGAGTGGCGTTTTGAGATCCGACGCCTGAGTGAACCTGGAGTCTGCCGGGAAATACCCAGACAAAACTCCAGAGATATAGAAATGGCATCTAGAATAGGCTGCATCAGGTAAAATATAGGACTAAGCCATATCTCATGAATGACTTCGATCCTGCGGACCGCTGACTTGTCATAGGCAGTGCTTCCGCAGCGGTCAGGACAATCGTTGCGGGGATCAAAGTTTGAGTCTCACTAAATTATCATCACAATGCATGGAGAGGTATTCTTCTCCACTAGCTCGAGCTCGAGTGTGGATGGTGGGTCGCGTGTGTGGCGTTGGCGTCTGTAAGAGCTGAATTGATAACACGCCACCAGCGCGTTTTGATCAATTCCCTTTTGAAGAACTGACTAGTGACTTCGTGCCTCCGCCTCCGGCCGCTTACTGGTACATAGGAGGTATCAAACATGTGAGCTCTTGAAGTTCAGTAGACATATAATCAAGTCCATGAAAGAGTGATGAATCGCGTACGGACGGACACGCAGCTGGATCTTGGCGATACACCGTGAACGCAAAAGATTTTCTTGAGGCTTACTTCTGAAACAATTCTTCGGACGGGTCGGTCAAGACGACCGACTTATGTTCTGAACATTATCAACTCATCGAAAAATCCAGAGGTCCCACGACCTGAAGTACAAGAATTAGAACAAAGCTTTGGTGCAAGGCTCATGCATGCGCAAAGCAAGAGAAGAGACGAACATAGATATTTGCACAAAGGGCGATAGCACAAGCCGAACTTACAAGACACTTACAATCTCACATAGACAAGGATGAATTAACGACGGCTGGGCTACAACTTCATCCGGCCAAATACATCATCATCTCTGAAGTGATGCTCCCTCGTACGCGAACAAAGAAATTTCTCGCATCTGGGACTGGTTTACACTCATAGACGGAGCTACTTGACCAGACGCGATAGGACACGAGCATATCTGAGAGAATGTCTGACGTATAGAGATCGTGGCTTCAGCGATATGCAATAGTAGGTTTGAAGTTCGTCAGCTGATGCTGTATGGACTAATCAAGATTTTGCCACAATGGCATGTCAGAACAGATCCCGAGCTCTGTTGCCAGCCTGCAAGCGGCGCCTTGAAGGGGACAAGTAATGCGGGGTCGGGCGAGATGACAATCAAAACTTACTCTCGTGGACACATATACACTAAGTCAAAAAGGCATGAGGTCAACGCACATCGAGCGGCGATTCTGAACTAGAAAATACGCTAATCATTATTCCCAGAGATCATGTGGAATTTTGGATCCATATGCACATGAAAACAGCAGATCTTACAATCATGAAACAATTGAATCAAACACCCCTTGAACGTAGGTTTCCACTGCGCTTCAAATTCAGAGCGAGCCGTTGCACAAAAGGCGGCGTATCTACCACTGCAAAGCTTGTTTAAATGAGCTGAATCAGAGTACAAGGCATGCAAAATATATTCAATGCATCTAAGCTGACGTTATAATTCAATCTCAAGATATTCTTGACAGTGCCCAGAGTCCGACCAGCGCATTGATTTAGGCTTGTACGTTGGCTCATCTGGACTTGGTTGGACCTCAGACGGAAACAACTACACTCACAATACGGATGCGACGAAAGTTTTGCGATACCAACATAAAAGTCGTGTTTCCGATAGGTTCATCCTAGTCCCGCCAATAGCACGCACTGGCACGGTTGTTCGTTGTCTGATCGACTCACATAATATTCACCGCGGCCGAACGTGATAAAAATGCTGGATTACTGCTGAACGGACACGTACTGCTTACGGTGAAGTTACGACGGTGTCATAGAAGGAATCAGACGCTCGCTTCGATGCACCCTCGCTCACACGCAAATCGCGTCCGGTACAACGTGATGATCACCTGGTTGGAACGCTTGTCAAAGACATTTGAGTCAAACAGATTTTTGAAAGCCTTGAATTATTTCCAGATATTGGGAAAATAAGAAATGGTTTTCGATGGGCAGACAAGACCACTTGAATGATGATAGAGACGTTAGCAGACGTTGCAAAGGTGCTATATATTCCAATTCGACGCGTTGGTCGGTTGTTTTATTGACGTTTCACTTTCAGCGCCCGCCAATCCGCGAGCAGTTTGTTCAAGCGCCCAATTAGTGTGACTCGAGCGCTACGTACTAAAAAGTTGGGACTCGACTCATTTCAGTCTCACCTCCTCCCACACGTCCACCAACATGTCCTTCGCTGCTAACGTCGTCCGTGCTGCCTCACGTCGTGCTCCTCGTACGGCGGCTCATGTGTCCTCAACGGTCGTAAAGAGCGCATCTTATTCTGTCTTTGCGCGCAATGCCGCTGCAGCGTCATCGCGGAGAGCAGCTATCCAGGTGAGTACCATCATGCTTATCTGAATATGCCATTGCTTCTACTAGTTACATAGCCTGTGCGCGGCATGAAGACTCTCAACTTCGCCGGAACGGAGGAGGTTGTCTACGAGCGGAGCGACTGGCCTCTGGTCAAGCTCCAGGACTACTTCAAAAACGACACCCTCGCCCTCATTGGATATGGCTCGCAAGGTCACGGCCAGGGTCTCAACGCCCGCGACAACGGTCTCAACGTGATTGTCGGTGTCCGTGAGGGAGGGGAGAGCTGGAAGCAGGCCATTGAGGACGGTTGGGTGCGTGTGTCTGCGACTGCAGGTACAGCGGACAGCCTTAGATAGCAATTTCTCGATTAGGTTCCTGGGCAAACCCTTTTCCCCATCGAAGAGGCTATCAAGCGTGGCACAATCGTCATGAACCTCCTCTCTGACGCCGCCCAATCGCAAACCTGGCCCACCATTGCACCCCTCATCACCAAGGGCAAGACGCTCTACTTCTCACACGGTTTTTCTGTCGTGTACAAGAATGATACTCACGTCATTCCCCCGACTGACGTCGATGTCATTCTCGTCGCGCCCAAGGGTTCCGGGCGTACTGTCCGCACCCTCTTCAAGGAGGGCCGTGGAATTAACTCCAGTGTCGCCGTGTGGCAGGATGTGACTGGTAAGGCAAAGGAGAAAGCTGTTGCTCTTGGCGTTGCGGTTGGCTCAGGTTACATGTACGAGACGACTTTCGAGAAGGAGGTGTACTCGGATTTGTATGGTGAGCGTGGTGTGGTAAGTATACTTTTCCAATACCGTATAATGTTTAAAATACTCATAATTTCGTAGCTCATGGGTGCCATTCAAGGACTGTTCCTCGCACAGTACAAGGTACTTCGTGCCAACGGACACACGCCGTCTGAGGCATTCAACGAGACTGTTGAAGAAGCAACTCAATCCCTGTACCCACTTATTGGCCAGCATGGGTATGTTCGTATGCTTCTACCTCAGATGTTAGTTGAACATGTTTTGTTAGAATGGACTACATGTACAATGCATGCTCGACGACTGCTCGTCGCGGTGCCCTTGACTGGGCTAAGGTTTTCGAGGAGACGAACTTGCCCGTGTTTGAGAAGCTATACCAGAGTGTACGGGATGGCACAGAAACGCGCCGAAGTCTCGAGTTCAACGGTCGATCGACGTACCGCCAGGACCTCGCGAAGGAGCTCAATGAGATCGACGACCAAGAAATCTGGAGAGCTGGCGCGTATTCATTGTTGAATTCGTTGACGATGAGTGCTAACACACATGTCCACAGGCAAGGTTGTGCGATCTCTCCGACCCGACAACCAGTCGTGAGCCGCATACGCGTCTTGATGGGCTGCGGATGAATGAGCGTATCGTATCATACCCAAAAGCATTTCGATGCACTGTCTTCACCATTGACTATTGTACATTCTCTAAGTTTTGCGTGCATGCTGAGCAAAGTGATTTGAGTCCATGATGTATTCAGGTGCTGAATTTGAGCATCTATGTATACTTGATGCAATGGTCATGACTCTGAGGCATACTTGAAGTTTAACATCCCCGCTGCATCTCGGTCCCTCTGCTGTGTTTTTGAACTTACCTCCTCCGGTATAACTTGATACAAGTTTGGTCAAATTAGTTTGCTTAATACGCTGAAGCCTGAGACTCAAGAGGCTGTGACGGCTGTGGTTTGGCTCGCCCGAGATTGGCAGGTTGCTTACGAAATCTTGTCGCGGCATAGCGTCGCGCAGCTGCGCCAACGGCGCTCACGGTCTTGCCCAGTCTCCCGCTTTCCTGCTAGATCTCGACGCTGTTTGTGCTTTGCAGTGCTTTGTGTACACAGTTCACGACCTACACTTCTTGCGCGCAGCGACGATAGCGACTGCTCATAACTGAACCCTCGAGGACTACGTTCCCTCGGACCTGCGCCGCCTATCACTACCACACGACCACTGTTACCCCTCGCGCCCTAATTCCCCATCCCGGAGCGAAGATCGACAGACACCACGCACCTCGCCTTGCTGGACCAACATGGCCCTCTTGGACTCGATACAAGACGCCGTATCCCGCGTCCTGCCCCAGAAGAGAACAACCCTCCCTATCCCGGCATCGACAACAGGGGGCATTGGCAGCAGCGTTATGATGCCTTTCCAGGACGACGTACGTATCCCCCTATATCTATCGTCTGGTGCAGCGCTTTGTTCAGACAATCCTGTTGCGGCACTGGAAAGGTTTGAAAGGGGATCCCCGGACCAGTCGTCTCGCAGACTGAGACAGGGTTACGTAATGTTCATGTTCTTGCAGCATACCCTCTCGCGTCTATGGAGACGTCCGCTCAGACGGGAGGGTATCTAGTCTTCCTCCTCTTCATTCCCGTGCTCTCAACGATATGGATTTGGGTTCATATTTTCCGTCTTTATCGCAATGTGTGGATCTTAGCTAACTCGCTGTGGTTGTCGTGACAGATGATCGTGTCCAAGCCCGCCATCATATTTCATGCATCCCAATCATTCTTCAACTTCTTAGCGATGTGCTGCTTCGCTAGTGTTGCCAGCTTCCAAGCAAAGTGGAAGGTTGGTCCTTGTGCGTCCTATTTCTGTGTCTTATAATGCATCCACTGATATCGCGCTGTAGCCGGATTAACAGGCTTCGCGCTCTTCATCGCTGTAATTGGCATCGTGTTCCCTCTCTTCCTGTTGTTTGTACCAGTGGTGTACGAAAAGTACAATAAGGGTGCACGTCTAGCGCGTGCACTCAGCGAGCTACGTGTCGGGTTTATCATGAGGGGGACAGGGTCTGCAGTCAGCTTGTTGATCGCGTGAGTACCAGAAACGCATTCGGTGCACATACATATATGGATTTCTGATCTTTCCGCGTAGTTTCATCGTCACTATCTCCGCGTGGACAGAGCCCGGTTGCAAAAACCCCAACAATGATCCCCACGCAAGCCTAGGTTCCTCTTTCAAGAATGGTCTAGGTGGATGGTGTAGCACAAAGAAGGCGGGGGCAATTTTCTTCTGGCTCGCATTTGGTTTGTGTTCTCGCTTAGTGGTTTTATCATTGACACTAACTACCTAGTAGGTTTCTGGATGGCGTCACTCACCCTCACTATTCTCGACTGGCGGAACGGCAAGTCAATGCGTCCCCGTGATCCTCCTTTCTCGCATCCTACCGAATTCTCCGAAGTGGAGACGCGCATGGAAGAGGAAGAGGGTGAATTTGACGACGAGGAGTCGCAGTATCACAAGCCGGCAGACAACTCAGACGCACTGCAATCACCGTTCGCTGACGGATATGCACCTCCGACCAGTACGTATGCGCCTCCCACGCTGCCCCGTCCCAGCATCGATGCGTATGGCGCGTTCTCGGACCCACCACCGACCGGCTTTGGAACGGGCGGAGGCACGTCGCCGTCTCCTGCGGCGGACACGCCGAGGGTGAGCAGGACGATGCAGTACGCGGATCCGTATGCTGCAGTGCGAGCAACACTTACTTCAGGGCAACAACATGGTGGATCGGGTGCTCCTCCGCCGGGTTATTCCACATACAACTGATTCACAAGTCTGTCGCGTCCGACGATGGCTAGGAAATATGCATCCTCGCGGGGACTGGTCCTCGGTATGACTCACGATATATATGTTCCACGAACACAACACAATTTTCATTTTTCATCACATCTACCTGTTGTTATTTCTTATTCGGCCGGTGGCTAATTGCTAACTTATGACCCTGTCGTTGAGAAATTGTTCATGTATCAACATCTACATCATGCAGATGATAGCTAGAGTGACAGTTCGGGAGGATGTACATAACCCATTCCGTTAATCTGATGGTATGCTTGTGTATATGGACAGAATTTGTTACATGCATTTTTGAATTATTAGTCGAATTTCAACCAATCTACATCACATTTTGAGGAGGTGTGTGTCACCTTGTCTCAGCTCTGGTCGGTTGGCTGAGGTGCTGAGGTAGCCTTTTTTGAGTTTACTTACTACAAATTACCAGCCTAAGTCAGAATTTGTCACTGTGTGCAGATACAGTTCTTCATCATACTTGCCTACCTGTAGCATCCCTCAGTATGATCTTGTTGGGGTGAGCTCAGGAAGTCTTGGTCCTGATTTAGTTGGTGATTATGGGAATCAAGACGCGGTGGCGGATCTGTTTACTGTTGTTGATCAACGGCTTTCAACTTCACCTCCATCACGTCTATGGCCCCGAAACAGCGCGACCCCCCGCCCGCGCCCGCGAGCGGTATTCTATCTAATGTATTTGGCTTTGTCTCGCGCGAGATCGAATCCTTTGTTACCACCGCGACCGGTTTAGGTGACAGCCAGGTGTGTGTGTCTTATTTATTCTTCAAGTGTGTTGGATACTAAATTCGAACATGGCTCGCGCACAGGCGACTATCCCGTCACAGGCGTCGACATCGCGCGTCAAACTCGAAGATAGTCGAAGAGTAAAGGTAAAGAAGGTCGGGCGCGACAGAGCAAAGTCAAAACACGCGCGAGGGACTACTGATGACGCCGAAGAGGACGATGCGCGCCGGCGGAAGCTGGCGCGAGCCAGGGAGCGGTCGAGCAGCCCGCCATTACTTGCACGGCATACTGTGAAGAAGCATAAGCAACATATATCTCGAGTCTCAACGTCTGCATCCCCTCATCTAACGATTGGCGCTGTGGAAGGTCGGTTTGGCCTCTTCTCCGTTTCATCATCGTATGAAAGCAATTGTACAGAATGCGGTAAACATTCCGGTACTCTATATCCCAGAGAAGAACATATGCATAAAATAAAGTCGCAAAGGCTTCCATCGCCGACGCGTAGCGAGGATGCAGGTTGGTGTCTCCGTTCGTCACTCCCAAGCATCGACGTAAATGCGTTATATTAGGTCCACATTCCCCCTCGCGTACACCCCCTCCCATACCAGCCCTGCTCCTTCCTCGATCGACGCCAATCACCATGCCAGGTTCCTTTTATCCTCGTTCTGAATCGATAATGCCCGATTTAACACCAATGCTCGCGCGTCGTATATCTAATCTACCCCGTACCCCAAGTCCGCCATTACGTTCAATTTCTCAGTCACAGCCTGGGCCTTCACGTTCTCCCGATCATTCTCGAGCATCAGACGCGACCTCGCAACTTGAAGGGACCACCAGAGGCCGGAAACGTGAATTGGATTCCACAAGAATCAGTGCAATGCCTGATAAGGATGATTTTCTCCAACCTGCTTTTATCGAGGGCCATTCCTGTGACCGTTCGATCCTTGTCGTGGATAGCAAAGGGAAAAGAACAGAAATATCAAGAGAAGGTGAATTATCAGATAATACAAAACGATCATCCAAGGCAAAGGGCAAAGAGCGTGCCTGTGACACGTCTGGGGAGATTAGGGTGCGCGGGAAGGAACGTGAGCTGCGTGCCGCACGCGAAGCCCAGCTGCGTAATGAGCCGCCCCGTGATGATGAAGAGCGAGGTCGTGACAAGCAGCGCATACGGATGTTAGAAGAGGAGATTGAGAGGTTGAAAGCTCAGGTAAGCATGTGGAATGTGGCATGTGGCTTGAAGCCGTCTCTGAACATTCAGATCAGCTTGCCGCCCACAACTCCACATCTTCACAACTCCCACCACCACCTCCGCCGCCGCCGCCACCTTTTCGACCGTCGTCGAGTTTGCCGAGCATGCCCTTCAAGGTTCCCGACCTTCCGCCTGGAGTCCCTCGCGCTACAGAGTCTTTCTTGGCAAATGTTCGCGCGAATCTCAAGCATACTGCACTGCCCGTCGAGGTCCCTATTAACGACGTAACTGGGCGAACGAGACGAGCTGGTCAGCCGACTGTGAATGTCCCCACAGACAAGATGGCCGCGTTTTTGAACGAGATGAAGACAGTAAGACTGCGAAGGATCAGCACTGGCACTGGAGCAATGCCTCCCCCTTCCTTAGATGATAGGAATCTGCTACGAAGCAATAGCGATACGCGTGCGCGAGGGTATGCCCACGGCGAGAGATCGTTCAGCACGGTCGAAGCCCTGGTTGGGGAGAAGAGGAAGCGCGATGCCAGTGCGGATGGTGCTCCGTTCAAACGACGTGTCACCACTTTTGCACTGGCCAACATTAACACAGGATCATCCACGACCTCGACCTCTTCCCAGACCTCATACGATTCTCGTGCCACAGGTTCCTCAACCTCTATGTCATTTGCTCCTGCATCCCGTCTATCGGGGCGCACGTGGCCCTCAGTGTCTACAACCGAGACCGATATTACAACGCCCTCTCTGTGTTCTGATAACGAGACGGAGCAACGAAAGGAGGCGGAAAGCTTGCCGCACACACCACCTCATCCTATCCGTCGCGAAGGGTCTGTGAAGCAGGGCTCTAATGCGCCGCCAGACGTAGAGGTGATCGACGTTGACGCGGAACTGGAGCCGACTCAGATCGTAGAGTCCGATCCGCCGGAAACAGTTAAACCGGATGTTTTCGCCAAGCGCCCTCCCCAGTCACCACTACCTGCTCCTGCGCCTCGCCGGGCGCGTCCGCCGGCGAGGAAACGGGCCAAACAACTCGAATTTCAGTTTCTGAGATCTACCGACGGAGACGGTTCGCTGTTGAAATCACAGGGACATCCGCGAGGCGGTGCCGTTGCGAGCAGGAAGGGCGGTAAGACAGTGGAGACGAAGAGTCGTTTGCCTGTTCCTGTTCAAACAGCGAAAGCTCCGAGCGGTACGGACATACCGCAGGAACAAGGCCAGGAAGAGCCATCTGCTGCGTCAAATCGTGCGCGACGGCGACGGACATTGGACGAGGAGCTGCGCAGGGCGGGGGATGACTTGTGGGCCGATGAACTGTCGCTGAAGCCTGGTGATAGTGAGCGACACAACGTAGACATGGACAGTGGAGAGCTCGTAGGTGTTGGTACGAAGAGCACGCGACAGGGGTTTCTGAAAGGTGGTGGTGGTGGTGGTACTCCGGTCTTTATGGGTGTAGGGAACATCCAAGGCGTGGAGGACGACGGAGATGATGAAGATGAGGGGACTGATGATGATATTCCTCCTCCACCGGTGAGATCGGCAAGGAGGGTGAGGAGTTAAGTGTCTATCTTATCATTATTTGTGTCGCGTGTCGCTGTCAATTTTGCACTAGCATTTACTTTCGATCTCTGTATCTTACCCATCTGGATGTTTTGGGAAGCGACTTTGTGGGTCAGTGTATCTTTGCCAATCTACATGCCTTGTGAAGGAATCCATGCAATACGCTGCCGTCACATAATGTATGGAAGTCCAGGCCTGCGGAGTTGGCCTGGATATCTGATATATTAGGTGATGACCTTTAAGTTGGCCCCAGGCGATCTTGCGATTGTGAAAGTATAATAATTTCCCTTCCCTCTCAGATGAGGGGTTCTTGCATCGCAGTCGACTCGTCCAGTGATGTCAGAGGATCAACGGATCTCCTCCCTCGAAGCAGCTTGGTAGGAAGAAGGCTGACACGAACTCTGCTTTACTATTCCCCGTGCATTCCCAGCCGCTTGTCTCTTCCAGTGGTCCCATATCGCACCACGTTTCGTCGATGCAATGTGGCCGTTGTCGCAGGAAGCCACGTCATGGTTGGAGATGTGGCTACATTGCTAACAAAGGTTGTAGGGGCATCGCTTAGATTGCATTGTTCTGGCCGTGTTTGGTGGCGCTGACGAGCCACCGCCCGAAATTCGACCTCCGGGCCTTTGACTAAGGAGTTTAGTCCACATTATTTGATGGGCCAAAACGCAACCTTGATTCTTTCAGCAACCTTGCAAGTCCACGTTGGCATCCGTGCCTTTTCTTGACATCCGTTCCGCCGCTATTTCCCTGACAAGAGATGATTTCTTCCGCTCTTCCTGCCATTTTCTCCTACGACTCAACTTCCTTAGAATCCGAAGACTTGCCTACTGCGGAGGACGAAATTCTTGGTATTGGGCCTTCGACATATTATCATGCATGCGAACCACCCGAAGCTCCCTGGGAGCCCCACCTCGCGGAGTTCAGCACCACTCCAATGTTCTTGCAAACCTGGGAGTGGTACGAGAGGTGAGTACAGAAAAGTTAATCACTCCTGTATGCTGACTCTGGCTACGCTTTACAGGCTCAAGACGTGTTTGTACGCAACACCCAACCTGGACGCATACTACGCAGCAATGTACGATTTTGAACACTTCATGAATAGCCGAATTTTCGCTTACCTGCTTGTCCTTAGTGATGCGTCCGAAGACAAAGGTTCTGCAGCATCATTGGCGAGTGCTGTTGGCGGAACTCGTTGGCATGACGTGTGTCATCCGATTCCATCACGAATATCTACCTTTTCCGCACTACAGGTTTTGTCGCCGGAATCCTCCCTGGTGCAAGGGGACGAAATATCGGCGTTGGCATCGATATCTGATGCATGGCAGATAGACTCCACTTCCGATGATACAGATTGGTCATCTATAGTTGCAGAGTTGCAAGAAAATATCATGAAACCTCATAATGAGACGCCTGCGGATCCTTCCCTAGATATTTCCGGCAGCCAAATTCCTGCTTTACCCGACCTATCCACTGTATCCGCAATGGAGTGTATGAAACCAAGCGAGGCGCCGCACGCAGGGCCAAGAACCCAAGTCCAAACCCTGTATGCTATCGACAATACTAACGTCAGTTCGAACCTCCTTGACGGCAGCTACGTTGGTGCTGTCAACGGACCAGCGGTGCTCAGCCGTGCAGGCACTGAAGGCCTACCAACTATCCAAGATTTGCGACCTTATTCGTCGTGAGTCTTGTCCTACATTTGTCCTTAGTAGTTTGGCTGATCTTTGGTACCCAGTCTGTACGCACCCTTGGCGTTCTTCGGACAACCCCCCTCTATCTCTGTTCGTTATTTCGCGGGAAATACGGCAACCTATCCTCAAATCGCCCCCGGAACCCGATATCAAGCCTCTTACGGAAAGCTTCCCATCGCTACGGCAATAGGAACCTGGCCAACAAGTGCATTTGCCGGGCCATATTCTTACAGCATTTACACCTCACCTCGGTCACCTCCCCCAGGAACGATTCCGTACATCTCAAAGCGCCTACGGTCAGCGAATCCAAAAACTGAAGTCAAGTTTCAATCTAGTGCCAAGACAACCCATGGGGACACGCATATAAGATACCAGCCTGCTAAGAAGCATACGGGGGTTGGGGAGGGTATCCACTCGGTCCATACCGCCAACGACGCGAAAGGTCATCAGCTCGCACGAACATTCATGCGGAGAACCTAAGACGTCTATATCAAGACTGCGGCTTCCCCGGATCCCATTTCATCGACATGCATTTCCCAGAGAAGTGACCGAACTTGACATACGTCTAGCCCGACACTGAGGTAAAGTGGTATTTCGGGGCCAAGATACCTGTTGTGATTGAGCATATAAAGGATACTCATTTGGATCTCAACGGCATGCCTATTCCGTGTGGTGTCAGAGGCTGTACACGTGAACAGAGGGTATGTCGCAGAAATTCTCGACAGCCTTTACAGGACACTCATTGGGGCGTTGAACATTGAAAGGGTGACAGTTCGGATCGTCTGCACATCCGAGTATACGTAGTGAATATTTATGATGGACCAAAAGGACAAGATGTAGGGAGTGATCCATGCCGAACTTGCTATAGAATTGCGCTGCTGTTTTCTGATTGTGCTCATATTGTATTGCCGGCTCGCATTGTAAGGTTTTTCATTTCTGTTGGGAATTGTAGGCAATGTTATTGATTCCGCGAATATGACGTGAATCTTAGATATACCGGGAAATGCCGGGGTTACCGCGCCGTGGTAATCGGATGACGGTGAGCGCGCTTTGGGCGCAAGCAGCTATCTCAAGTCTGGAGCTCGAGCATACTCTCGTAGAGTTTTCTGCATTAAATGTAGCGCATATAGTATCTGCGGCAAATACAACGCGGGCATGAAAGTAATAATCATAAAAAACTCAGGCTATGCTTCGTTCTGTCCTGAACGTCGCATGTACCGAACTACGCTATTTTCCCCCCATTTCTCAAGGATTGCTCGCTGAAGAATGGTAGGACAAATTCAGCTAGAGAGAGGAAGGAAAAGAAATGTGTTTCTCACAAATCGCTTTAGGCCATGGTACGTATCTTCAATATCTGTCGCTTCTACTTGCAGTCTGATTTGGTCTGTGATACTTAAGTGCCATTTATGTCCAGAACGATGATAGGTCTTGTAAGCAACAGGTTTGTCGCGACTACATCTGCACCTTTAAACCTGCCTCTGCAACTGATGTCGGCACATCCTCTAGAGTATCATATGCGTGGGTTCGAATGAACGTCAGCGAGCGAATTCTCTCACACACTGGTAGTCAAATCAAAAGCAAATTATCATACCGATTTGATTTCTGAACCTTCAGACTTTTGACTCGCCAAATTATCAAAATTTACCTCTTTAACCAACAGATACAAAGATCTCGAGGTAGCATTTACCTCGCTATCTCCGATGAATCACTATACTGAAATTGTTCGTACATATGCGATATTTGTATTAGATATTTTTCGCGAGAAAAGAGAGCAGGATAGGCAAAAAAACTTCACCTTATACAAACAGGACACACAAGTACCCCGGTGCGCATACGTGACAAGATGCCTTGGCACACGCCAGTCTTGTGTTTGAATAAATACCACCCAAGGTGAACATGCTACTGCAGCATCGGGAGAAGGCGGTGTCCAGCTGGCGAAGAGTGCTTTGCGCCAACAGCAACTTCAAGTCACTCCACCCCAATCAAAAAGTCATTTTAGGAAGCTATCAGAGGAAACAATTGTGTCGGACGGCGCACTGAGGGACCCATCGAAGCAAGTATCGTACTACCTGGGTCTCCAAGGTAACAGTGACGCGTTGCCTTGGTTTCAATTGAGATATCAAGATCTTCGTAGATCAAATCACACCCTATTCGAGTTGGCTCATTTAGGAGTTTCTGCCATGTGCAACTAATGTGGGCATTGTGGGCGCACATTCTCACCCGAGGCGAGGATGTCTCGGCAGGCAACGCATGGCTACTTTGTGGCGACGAACCTATGAGGTCCGACCGCTCCGACAGACAATCGAAATCCGACGCGGGCAAGTTTGGTGTTGTCTGTGGGCGCCGGGCGTTAATACGGATTCCAAAGACAACAAAGGGCGACTTTTGCGGCGGTGATCTGACACATCGACAAGTCGGCAACATGTGTAGTCTACCCGGAGAAATGACAATTTCCGATATAGACACAGTCCTAAAGGATTTAGATATCTCCAGGTGAGGTCGAACTATGTGTCTTACGGGTGAATACTACGGAGGATCACATATCACAGATATGCAGGATGCCAACAGTAGCCCGTCAGACTCAGAATCACTTAATTGGAAGAATGAAACGACGACCGGCGAAGTTGGGTGCGCTTCGGTAAGCGTAACTGAACTACATCGGAGCCACTTTCCGGGCTGGTCAACCATCAAAGCGTGGACCTTCCACGTCTAGGCCAGTGCCGGCCGCGTCCCTTGTTCTCTCTCCGAAAATGTGGCTAAGAGTAAATCACGCGTGTTTCTTCCGAACTTGGGAGTCCATAGCTAGGATGTAGGTTCTCGGATGTTTAAATACGGTCAACCCACAGCTTTTTTTCTACATCCACGTCCACACACTGTGACATCTATCTGCACCGAACTCCACCTTCTCCACGCATCATCTATTTCAGCCCTCATCTTCTTCAAAATGTCACCTCTCCCTGCGGAATTCGACATGGTCCTCGACTCCATAAACCTCCTTCCGCTCGACACCGAAGCGAATTTTGTGGCAGCTGCATACAATCTCATGAGCATGGTTCCGGAAGACATTAACGCTTTGATAGACTGGGAACAATGTGGCCCTTCAAATAACTCCGGGTATGTTGGACTTTTTTGTGTGCCACTCCCAAGAATTATTAAGCTTCCCTTTTCGCAGTGTCAACGATGATTCCACTGTTCGCGTTAGTGAAGACAACGTACCTTCTCCAACTACTATCGCCATCGCCGTGGTCGATAATAACGCCATTCCCACACATGCTTCGGAGTGCGAGAAGCAGCAATACCCTTCCGACATCTCTGTCAGTACATCATATCCCACGGTGGATATAGCGGAGGCACGAATGATTCCTCAAAATACACAGCAGTCAGTGGGGGCTTCTGCTCCTCTATTTTACGAGGCGACAGAAGAAACGGAGACCTTCGGCTATGGATCTATTCCTAGCGCACACAGTGTCCCCCGCGGTCCAGAACCTATAGGCGGAGCTGGTAGCAGCGGCGGGTGAGTTTGTTTGTTTCGACATGATATACCAACGTTGATCATATTTCTCGACATTTTCTTCTCAGTGCAGGAATACTTGCATGCCAAACGATGGGAAGAGATGTCTTGTCCTTTTCAAGCCTGACGGTCCTATCAAGCGAATGGTCTCCGGTCGCCGACGGGGACACCGTCTTCAAGCCCGATGGTTCCCCTGTACCACAGCGGGCTTCAGTATCCCCAAGGTCTTGGCCTCACGCTGATGCTGAGGTCACGACAGCGCTTGAGCCGCATTCCTCCGTTTTATCTCTCTTTCTCCCTCAGACTGTTCCCGGAACAGCGACCGGCAATTTGAATTCTTTGACGCAAAACACGAGAAAGCGCGCACGATCTGAAAGGGAGGAGGACGGGCCAATGAAGCGTCGTAAAAGCGGCGCAACAGAGGCTGCAGAAACCACTACCAGGGCGATGAAAGGGAAGACCAAGGCGGCCTCCGCGCATCCGGCTGCAAAGTCTAAATCTTCTATTGCGCAAAACCACGCAGATAACGCCAATGAGGATATCGACAAGTCTCCAATGAGCTGTCGAATGTCTGAATGCAGCTTTGTATCGGACCCACTCTCTCTATGGGACCATTTTAAGCGGACCCACCAACCGTCACTGCTGGGAAGACAAATTCCGATCAACACAGAAGACATGCGAGTCCGGTGTATCTTCTGCGACGAAGAGGACAGCGCGAGGAAGGTTTTGCATCATATCCAGGCCATACATCTCGCGGACAAGAAAGACGGAGAAAAGGTTGCGTGTTCTGGCTGCGAGGAAAAAAAGATGGTGGACAAAAGCAATTTCAAGCGCCACCTGATGGACGTGCACTGGAAGATTGAGGGCTACGTCTTTACTTGCCAGATTTGTGGCGACAAGGTCAGGAAAGATGCATGGAAAAACCGGCAGCACTTCCGAAAATGTCTATCGTCGCGTATGCATGAGAGTGCCAAGAAAAAGAAGGGGAGATAATACTATTGCATTTTGTTACTGGCAGTGTCCATCCATTGCTTGTGATTTCGTTGGTATCGTTCGAATTACCGGATGAGTGCATCGTGTTGAACAGCAGACGCAAGCAAAAATTCCATGTTGTCGAGGTGAGGATATTAGCGAATATGAGGATGACCTGTCTCATCGTAAATTGCGAGCAGATCATCCAAGTCTTTGGTAGGGGATTAGACAAATCATCCGCAACGTCACTATCCAGACTTCAAATTGCGAGCCACCATTGAAGTCAGCACGGCCGTCCACTGGCGGCCTAATTTGAGTCCCAGGCAATGACTGTCCGTTGAGATACAAGGATAGAGCGTAGGGCCACTTCGGAACACACTCGAAACCTTTCTTCTTGTTCATGAAATTAGTAACGCATGTATCCATATGGTTACGGGATTTCCATGCATCCTTCCGAGTTTTTGTGTTGCAGCGCTGATACGTCGTAACAAAGCCCTCGATGGCCCAATGCGTGCTGAACACATGCCTC